GTGTACCACGGACGTTTCTGACCAGATCTCAACCCCTCCTTCATGCTCTCAAGCACACCTCGGCCACTCTCCATCAGCGAACTGGCACCATCATAGACACTACCAGCAACCTCAACTACACCTTCGAGGGTCTCCTGCAGCTTGCCGAGTCCCTCGAGAACTGCTCCCAGATCCAGCTTAAACACCGCCGAGACCTTGACGAGTCCTTCCACAACCCCAGTAGAATGTCGGAGAACGGCCTGCAGCGGTGATTCATTGTCGGGGACATACTGCAGCGCTTGGAACGCATAGCATGCCTGATACATCAAGTAGGGATCTGAACTGGCCTTCAAACCCGGCAACACCCCAGAAAGAGCTTCGTGCTCTTCAAGTCTATCCAAGTCCTTGACCTTGTGCTCCGCCATAATATCAAGCAACCTCGAGACAGCCAACGTGAGATGGAAGGGATGAACAGACAACTGCTGGTGGGTGTCCTGCAGACGAACTCCGAGCACACGAAGGATCTTGACCAGGTCGTCAGGAAGCAGAGCCTCGGATGGAGCAGACTGGACCAACTGCACCAGACCTTGCAGCAGATCAATATCCAAAAGCACAGCCTGCTCGAATTCCGTGATGGTACACAACAGCAACCTGCGAAAATGCTCGTTGTCGAGCACTGGACCAATAAGTACCATCTCGGCAATCTCGGTCGAGTACTTGGAGGCGTCCTTTGCAAACTCATCCACCATGCAAGCCCCTAGGCAACGCAGACGCTCTTGCTCAATAGGGTCTTGCTTCATATAATTAATCCAGGCACGTTGGGCAGTAATGCCAGAGGACAAAATTTGCGAGTGATCCTCTTGCTGGTTGAAGGGATCGCCGACCTTGGGGAGCAAGGCAATGCACAAAGCAAGTTGGGGAGTGGTGTCAATGCGGGAACCGAACTCTGGCAGGGTGATGAGGATGGCAGGTGGTTTGATATTTTGTGAGAAAACGTCCAAGCGAGGTATGGCCGTCAGAACTGACGGCTGGGCACTGGAGGCAGGGTTTTTGACTTCGCTGATGGAGACTGCAAGGTCGATGTCGATATTGTTGGAGAGTTTGTGCCGCTTGTGTCCATGCTGGGAGGAGACTGGCTTGTTATCGACACCATCGCCAGCCTCGCCACTTGCAAGGTCCAAAGGAACCAGGTTATCCTCGAGAGTAATCATTGAAAAACCGTGGCTGATGGATCGTTTATTGCCTGTCGAGGAGGGCTAACAGAGAGAGGGAGTGGGATTGTCGTTTTGTTGTTTTGTTGTCGCTCTTGGTCCGTTGTGGGCAGATGCTTGGAGACTGGAAACGGAAATGACCATGTTATTTTCAGATGGAAAGAGTTAGCACGCGCTAAACAGAATATGAAGAGTTCTTGCACTTAAACACGATTGTCCAAGTACTCACAATACGATCTCGTCCTTAGTGAGGACGTTTTTTTTTTTTTTTTTTTTTTTTTTTTTTTTTTGGGGGGGGGGAGGTGCTTTGTGTATTGGCTGGATGGGAGAGCGTCGAGTAGAGAAGCGGAAATTGCTATTAGGCGGACATAGTGGCGAAGTGGTTGAAGGGTTGAGAGAGAGGTTAGGAGGTGCTCAACGGCGATAAGCGTAGTATATGAGACTTGGATATTGGAGACGAAAATTGTACCTCTCCAAGGTTGGGGTGCTCGGCACTTGTTAGGTACAAGACGGACAAGCACGCAGGATGACGATTGACTGAGCGAGGAGATGTAGAGAACGGAGAAAGAGAAAGTAGGACGATGGAAGGATGTTGAAATGACCAACAGGTGCGAATGTAGGTAGAGTGTAATGAGAGCCAAGGAGACTGGCGGTGAAAAAGACGAATGAAGGAGATGGAGAGTAGTGATGAGGGGAGAAAGGTGAGTGTTGCAAAGTGGAAAGAGAGGGAGGGAGGGAGCAGAAGAAAGAAAGTAAATATAGAGACACCCCATGGTATGCGCATAAGTCTTCGCCATCATGCATAATGTCCATGGACTTGTTTACCTAGCCATATTTTCTTTCCCTGCCTTACATCGATTGACCACTCCCTCTTTCATACCCATGTGGGGGGAAATACACTCACATGGTATTGTTAACACATAATCAGAGAAGCAAAGGAGGAAAGCGCTGGAGAGCGAGACACTCACGCAGATACTATACAAGTTCACTCGTAGAATAGTCGTTACCAGAGGATGAACAGACATAAGACGCGGAATGAAATGGTACGCGTCTAGGTGATCCATAACTGATAACCAAAATACCATGAAAAGAAGCGAAATCAAGTATTATTGAGCGGGTGTGGATTGTGCGTTGAAGGGGCATGTTACATTGCTATTATTTCTTTGCCTTAATTGATATTTGTATACAGCATGGATCCTTCCTACTCCTATCTCTCTTTACCTGTATTCCATGCTTTGCAATTGCACTGCACCTTGTATGACTTTTGAGGATTGATATTTATTGTGGTACGCTGGCAAGCAAGCATGCGTTCAGTATTTTACTTGTTTTCTGCTGGGCCTTCAATTCCTCGCGAATAGAGTTAATGGTCTGTCCTGTTAACCTTTCTGTACATTCGTGGACATGAACCTCCACCGGGCGTTTCTCTCTTTCTCCTGCTTCTTGTATCAACAATACAAACTCGCGTCGACGACTATAGACTTCTTTTGTCTTCAGATCATTTGAAAGACAGCCTTGACTCCTTAGATGGGAGAGAGGGCCGTGAAACTCATCCCACGCAGCGCGTTCCATCAACGCTCCTCTATCAGGGAGCATTTTGTACCCTATACTGATAGGCAGAATATCTTGTGGATGATTAAGGCGACGCCAAGGAGAGTCTTGTGAATGAGGAGGAGGGGAAGTGACCGCATTTGATGGCGGTTCCTACGCGAGTGCTTGGACCGGAAGACTAGGCGAGGTTGGGAGGGTAGGCGCCATATGAAACAATGGAGGTCGCATTTGGAGTGTTGGCTGGGATGATATTGGCTGATAATGAAGACTAGGATGTGGGCCGCGGTACGGTATATCTGATTGTCGACCAGGCTGCCGAGGATACGACGGGTGAGGACACGACAACAGGTGAAGATATGGCGGATGAAAGATACAACAACGGGTAAAGACTGGGCGGGACAGGATATGGTGCGCATGGGTATGGGTGCCATGGAGAGTATTGCGTGTGTCCGAGTGTAGGTGACTGGGTTGTAGCCATAGCCTTTTGAATTTCTTGGGATATTCGGTCCAGGATGCGTTTTTCTAAAGCTCCTTGACCTTGCGCGAGGGCGATCTGGACCTGGAAGACCTGAGAGACCTGATTGCTGATAGCGTTCATGGCTTTGCTTATATCCTGTTTGTCCACGAACTGTTGTGGTTAGGTACTGTAATTAAGCGGCAGCCTATTTTAATTGAAGAACTGAGACTCAAATCTGGCTCAAAGTATCCTGCCTTCGAATAAAATCACTTTCCTTCCCGCCTCCATTCTCCTCTGTACTTTTCAGAACCTGCCCTGTCTTTTGTCATAAGAGTCCATCGAATCATTCGAATGGCTAAGGCTCAAGACATGGGACACCACCTGTCGGAACTAATTTCCAGGCTCTGCCAGCCAATGGACGTGAAATAGTGAACAAGGGGTTCCCTGGTGGGATCTCCAAGCTCACTGACTATGAGGCTTTGCTCAGCCTTTTCTTCCGCACTGCCTCTGCCTTTCATGGCCGGCGGACCCAACCTGGCATTTATATCACCCACCAAGGGGGGTCTCATACCCTGCCGGGCAAGAAGCGTTCCCTATGTTATGGATAAGTGTGAATCCTACTAGAGGATTTACTTCCTTTTCTTTTTACTTGACGAAGTGGGTAAACCAAGCCTTGGCCCCTGTTCAGGTACTATATAATACCGATCAGGGACAAGGTAATAAAAACAGCTTCCTCGTCACTTTCCTTGCTTAAAACAACTCACTCTGTTCACTGCTGCCATGCACATTTTATTTTGGTCTTGCATCTCTTTAATAATTGCGTCCTGTTTTTGGGTCATTAGAAGGAAGTCGTTGTAACTGGGTTGCTGATCGTCTCCACTTACCTGGACCGGCTACGTCCCCTTGGTTTGTTTGCCTGCGTTCTGGAGCCCCTGTTTCACCTGGGCGTAGTATGTAAGGCCCACTTGAGTTGGTTGAGCAAAGGTTTGCACTTTGGGCACGGGGTCATTGTTGCGGGTTTGTTAGTAGTCGGGGAGCAGGCGCTCTTGGTGGGTGCGACTTCGCGATGCTTCCCGCGCGGTGCCCTTTACGCGCGCTCTTCTCGGGGCATGCTGCGATCAGATATTTGGGCGATCCACTCGTTGTATAATTTTTTCTCCACGTCCACCCAGGTCATCCTTGGATCTGTCTCATTAATGAGATACTCCTTAATTGTCAACTTACCAAACGCCTCTTGGGTTGTGAACGAAAAAAATGCCTCTCACTTTCTTAAGGTGGAGTTGTGGTGAAATGGGATTGTCACGGAACAATTGTTCACTGTCTCACACAAACCTTTCTGCATTAGCGGGGTTGTGCCTCTTGGCAGGTTGGTGAGCTTGCGGACCAAATCTTTGTGGAAGGTAATATCGTTATTGCCGGGTCTAGTGATGGGGCCTGAGTCCGTCCTAATGAATACCACCGCCTGTTGTCTTCGCTGGAGATCCTTGACCTGCTATCGTTGGCGAGGGTCACTGTCGCGGTCAATAATCCTCCGTACTTGTAGGGAGAGAGGCGTATGTGTTCGACCTTTCCCTTGGAGTTGAACAGGCCTTCGCTTGGCCTTAGTAGTGTTGCCGATAAGAGGATATCTCAATCCGTGTCGAGCTCGAGTCGTGCTGGTTTGATTGTCTTTCTGTCGGAGTTATCGAGATCCTTGTCGCCATTGTCGTTTGTGCCGGGGATTGTTGTCTTTGCTGGCTTGTTGAAGGCCAAGCTGAGGAGGTGGTTCTTTGACTATTCGTCGCGGAGAGATACTTATCAGTGGTTTAGGTGCCGATGTGGAGGTAGCGGGTAATGGGTTTGCCAATGAGAGTAAGCAGCCCTCTCAGTTTGTAGGCCAAGTCGTTGATAATGTCGCCGGCGCCTCCGAGGTCATCGGTCCAAAAATTAGCTGCCCTGAGGATGAACTCCTGGACGCCGGTGTCAAAGATGATTTTATCCATCTCTTTTCCTTGCGGTTGCTGGTCGTCCATGCTGTTGGGGTTGATTGCTGCGCTGTTGACGTCCTCGTAGGTTTCTCCAGACGTCATGTCTTTGTCTTCCGAGCGTGGCAAGTACTGGATGCTGCCACTCGGCTGCTTGATGCCGCGTAATTGGTCTTGGTGTTGATGTCTGGGCATGTTGGGGCTGGGAGCGTTGGTGTGGGAGGTGGTCTTGAGGCAGGTAGGGTGTTGGTTTCCAATGGAAGGGAGATGATGACTGCCGGATTTGGAGACAGCAAGTAATTGGAAAGAGGTGGATTATCACAAGCTAGGGGTGGCTTAGTTCCCAGTTGAGGGAGCAAAGTGAACACCGGGTATTTATACCCGTCCCTCCCCTCCCGGTAACGAGTTACCATCATATCGTCGATCATTGATGAAAACACACTCGCACTAGCGTAACAGTAATCTATTTCGATGTAGTAAAGTAAACAGTTTGACTTGAACCATAGCCCTGTCTATGGCACACACGGTTGTCGAGAGCGATATTTTTTGTGTTGGTAAGGATCCGGAATACATGTAGTAGGGAGGAGGAGCCTTCTAACTTACTTTTTTCTTTTGAGTATCGCGCGTGAGTCTGAAGAGTTCCACGACCCAATAACCATACGCCTTTTTTCACACCGGCTTTTACATCGCAACGTGAACAACAAGATAGGACAATGCAAGAAGAAACAGGAACGTGAACCGTTCTTTCCAAGAAACAATACATACAGGAACACGTTCTATGTTTGGCAAGATCATCACGTATAAGTTTATTGGTCGCCTTCTTTGCTCTGTTAGGCGAGCCGAGGTCCATCCGCTACTCCTCATCTTCAGACTCATCGTCAGATCCGTTATCGTCTTCAAGCCAATAGTCAATTTCATCGTAGTCCTTAGACCCAACCTCAAATCCATCGTAAAATCCATCTTCAAATCCACCGTCCTCTTCAGGCCCATCATCAGATCCATCGTCATCTAAAGACAAGCCCCTATCAAAAGCACTGCGCTGTGCCAACAACTTGCGGTAGATCGGGCTCAGACCAGTCGCACCTTTGAGGACCACACCTTCACAGCAAAGCCTCCTAAGATTAGTACCCCATAGCATCTTGACGACAACCACTCCATCATCGCTCGACACTCGCCATACTCGGACAGACCCATCCATGCTAGCTGTGATGAACTCCGTCGGGACAACTGGATTCCAAGACAGGCTTACGACAGGCTCAGAAAACACACGAAGCGTTACTACGCAAGACCAGCTCTCGATATTCCCTTGGATCGAATGTCGGTGCCAGAGATGCACAATGTGGTCCTCGGTGGAGGATGCCAGAAACTGACCGCATGGCGAGTAGGCGACGGTCACGCTCCTACTAATCGGACCCTCCGAACTAGCATCCGGGAACAACTCCAAACTAGGCTCATTCGACCGCCGGTCCCACAAGGCAACCGAGTTCCGAGTGCCTAAAGCCAGCTGCTGACTATTGGGCGAGTAGTCCAATGACCAAATCGGCCACCTCATCAGCTTGCACATCAAGAGCTCTCTTGTTTGTGGATCGAAAAGCCGGACTTTTTCGTCCCCCGAGCAGACCGCAAGTTCATGGCCTGTTGGTGAGAACTTCATGTCGTTAATCTCGTTGTCATAGCCTCCGCTCGCGCCGACAAGAATGCATTGCTGCACCGTGCCATGAAAGTCCCACAATCGGACAATCCCATCGTCATCGGAAGAGGCGATCCAGCGACCACAGGTTGAATAAGCAACAATCTTCACCGCGCCCGAATGCCCATTCAAGACTGGCCCAACTGCGCCAGTTCTGCGATCCCACAATCGCACTGAACCATTCCCGCACCCGGTTGCGACTTGATTGCCGTCCGCCGAAAACGCCACGCAGTTGATCCTCTCTGGGTCCGGAAACTCAAACGACACTGATCCGCGCGATCCTGTCTTAGCATTCCCCTGTCGGATAACGCCAGGACGATGCTTAGAGAGGACAGGTACGAGACCGATAGAGAGTACAGATAGGCCATCGGGAGAGTAGGCCACCAGACAAGAGTCACCGATCTGATCTTGTATCGCAACTCTGGACCGACTGGTGTTCACCTCCCATAATAGCACTGTTCCGTCATCAGATCCCGATGCAATGGTAAGACCATCCGGAGAGAAGGCAATGTCAGATGTATGGTGCCAGTGACCGTCAAACGTGGAAATAATGTCGCCTGTGGATGCGTCCCATAACATGACCCTGCGGTCGTTGCTCGTAGTGGCGATCAATTGACCGTCCGGAGAGAATGCGATTCCAGTAACAGTCTTGGCGTGGCCTTGTAGAACAAGACCTGGGCTACCGGAGACCATATTCCACAGCCGCACATTGCCGTCCTCGTGACCGGAAGCTATCCATCGGCCGTCTGGAGAACAGGCAAGACTGTAAATCTTCCCCAACAAAGGACGCAAGACGACCCCTCGCTCTCCTGTCTCCGAGTCCCAAAACCGAATTGTTCCATCCGCGCTGCCTGATATGAGCTGCCGTCCATCCGGGGAAAACCTGACGCTCGCGACCCACTCAGTATGGCCTTCTAAAATAAAGATGCGCACTCCCGTCTCCGAATCCCACAGTCGCACCGTTCTGTCGTCGCTGGCTGAGGCAATACATTTGCCACAAGGCGAGTACGCCAATGAGCGTATGGAATCAGTGTGCGAGGAGCGCCTCCAATTATTGTACCACTCATTAACTAACAACTCCTCGCCGCTTGTGCAATCCCACAACCGAACCATTCCCATCTCGTCTCCAGATACGATTCGTCGACTATCAGGCGAGAATACAACAGATCGGACATTGTCACTGACAGTGATTAGATGAATTCGTTCCCATGTGGACGTGTCGTATATCCCGATGCCAAGGCCTTCATCCCTTAACGCCACTCCAAGCATCCTTCCGTCAGGCGAGTAGGCACAGGCTGCTATAGTGTACCCCACCTTGAGGTATGGCAGCTCTCCGAACCGGACGCCCTCCATCTGTGCATGACTCAGATCCGCTTGCCGCAACCAACTTCCCGAGAGATTGGCTCTTGTCAGGTCAGCGCCTTGGAACTGTACAGAGTCGAACTGGCCATAGGAAAGATCGGCGCCAGGGATCTTGATGCCACGGAGATCTGCGCCATTGAACAGAGCGCCGACCCTGACCAGGATCGTAATGGCATTAGTGGCGGCGATGGTGGCACTGGAATCGGTCTTGGACTGGTCGATGATAGCGCGGAGGTATTGTTCAAAATGCGGGTCGAACCTCACGCGGTCGCACAGGAACTGGATAATCGACGGCTCCTTGAGCAAGTTTCTCTGGTACAGAGGGCCATTGGTGTCGGACGAAATGGATGCCGGAGATGTAGTCTCAATTGAGGAGTCAGAGTCCTGCTCGTCAACCTTGGCCGGGTTGTAGATGACGCGTGAGAAGAAATACTCAAGCATGGACCGGTGGACAAAGCGATACTGATTCCCAGTGCGCATCAATGGACTGGCCTCACGGAGCAGCTTGGCCTCGGGGTCAGTACCAAAGAAAACCGCCTTCCAGGAGTCCTTGTCATGTCGATGGATATACTCGACGACCGGGTATCCACCCTGCTCCTGAAAGATCGCCGCAGAGAGACGTAGCAGGTAGTCGATCCCGCATCCAATAAAACCGTAGTCCATCAGCGAATTGAATGCCATCAGTTCTTCCTTGCTCAGTGTGTTCGACTGTAAACGTAGTCGATTCGTTTCCAGCCACTGCTCTACAAACATGTCGTAGAGTCCGACTCGGGTGACACGAATGCTTGGCAGGTCGCTATTCGAGGCAACCATGCGAGGCAGAGCCTTGAGAGCAAGCGTCAGGAGGAACGGGTTCTTGACGAGGTCCTTGATATTGGGGATCATTGTCAGCTTGTCCATGTACTCCTTCGCCGACCACACAGCTTGATTCTGGAATAATAGCGCCGTCTGTGGATCCTGCGCGTACAGCCCGACATAATTCTCGATCTGCTCCTTGGAGAAGTGCAACAGTTGAACCTCCGATCAGAGTAGCTTTAGATAAATAGACACACACTACCATAATACATCCACATCTCTTACTTCCACTCCTCCTAAAGTTGCATGGTAGCAAAGGTTCACGAATCCACTGACCAGACCCCAGACCCCCCAGTACAAACCCCAGACCCCTCCAGTTCCCCTGACACCTCACCCAGCACCTCTTCCATCCCCTCGCCCTGTCTTCCCCCTATCGACACGTATTTTATCACAGATTTTTTATCGGAACTCACCATCATGAACAACGACAACCAATCCCTTCCCACCATCATTGAACTCGACACCACCTCCAAACCCGCCAAGTATGACGGCACTCGCGATGGCTTCAAATGCCTTGCGTGGCTAAAGGAGGTGCAACGCTACTTCACCATGAAGAACGTACCTGACAGAAAACGCACCATTCATGCCGTCAACCTCCTTAACCAAACCTCTCTCCTCTGGTGGGAATCCCTTAACATCGACGACACCTGCGAGTACCTCACCTTCACAACCTTGTTCAAGAAGGCATATATGCCTGACGGCTTCCTTGAACACGTCCGCGGCCTCCTCCTCAATGCCAAGCTCACCACCAACCTCGCCGAGTACCTTACCCGCATCCGCCTCTACATGAACATTTTACTTGCGGAGGATCCCACCGGCCGCGTCTTCCTTGAATCCACCGTCAGAGTTGTTTTTCTCCAAGGCTGCCCCGACGACCTGAGGCAATTACTTCAGACTGATCAGGTATCTAACCCCAACAACACTTTTTTCGACATGTGCTCCAAGGCTGAAGGATTTGACACCATCTATGCTTTCGGACCCAGAGGCGCCACCAAGGGTATGTTCGCCAAGGCTATGAATAACATCCGCTCACAAACCCCGACCTCCAACTCAGCCCCAACCTCCGCCCCCGCCTTCGACCCAATGGCGATGGAGATTGATAACATCAGTGTCGACCCCACCACCCGCGCACTCATGTCCTCGGTCCAGTCCCTCACTATCGCTGTCAACGCTATGGCATCTCAGTTCAACAACCAGCAACAGCAACAAAACCGCCCGCGCCTTGCCCGCCTCACCGATGAAGAAAGACTATACTTGGAGAACAACAACGGCTGTTTCAAGTGCCGCCGACCCAATGCCGGACATTACTCCTGGGACTGTGGGAAAAACCGCAATACGCCCCGACCTCCCAGGTCCCAGGCCGTCAACAACATTGCTTACGTGGGCAACCCCCCAACAGACCAGTCGGGAAATGCCCCCAGCAACTAGGTGCAGTCCAGGACCCAGTTGCTGAAACCCCCTCCTTTTACCCCAGCGGTGAAGGGAGTGCTCACACACCAGAGTTAAGTTCAAAAGAAAAAATAAAAAAGTCGCCAGATCTATCAGTTGAAAGTACTTCTAGCCAAACTCAGATTTCAAACTCAATTCGTGATGCTCACTCCCCCCCCACCCTGGCACCTTCACTGGACCAGACCCCAACCTTTGACTCGTCCCATATTGTGTCTAGAACTTCAGATGGCCCAGACCTGGACCTGACCGCCCCTGTTGTGTCGACCACACCGCCTACGAAGCGACAGTTGAGAAGACGGAGACAAAAGCAATTGCGTCTCTGTTCATTTTCTATCGCCGAGGCTGAGCGCCAACTGCTCACTTTTAATTGCCTTGTCAGCGGCTTTCCGGCTCGCGTGCTGATTGATGGCGGTGCTGAAGGTAACGTGATCAGTACCTCATTTCAAAAGAAAAACAATTTGTCACGAACCGTCATCAACCCCATTCCTGTCCTCCTTCCCGACGGCTCATCCTCCATCACCAACCATACTGTCAACATCACCATCGAACGCAACGGCTACTCCGACACTCTCGACCCCATTCTCTACCCACTCAAGAAATACGACCTGATTCTGGGAAAACCATGGCTCACACACATCAACCCTCAAATCAACTGGCGTACAAATGCTCTACACTTCACCCACAACAACACATCCATCAAATGGGACTGCACAGGATTTAAATCAAACAGCATCCAAACCCGCACCAAAGGTCTCCTCCTCTCCCACCTACACTTTCATACCATGGCTACCCTCCCCGGCTCGGACATATTCTTGGCTCTGGTCAAGTCCTCGAAGGATCTGCAGAAGGACAAGGACAGGAATGACAAGGACTCACCATCGCCACCCAAGCGCCCTCTTATGACACCTGAGATCAGGTCAATCGTCGAAGATGAGTTTAAGGACGTATTCCCCGACACACTTCCCAGCGGCCTCCCACCAGACAGAGGCGATGCGATGAAAATCGAGACAGACCCCACAGCAGACCCACCATTCAAGCCAGTCATTCGCCTCTCCATTGCAGAACTCGACGAACTCAGGAAGCAGCTGGATGAATTACTCGCCAAAAAATTCATCAAGCCCAGTACATCACCTTACGGCGCTCCAGTACTTTTCGTTCGGAAAAAGGATGGCACCCTGCGTATGTGCGTGGACTACCGAGCTTTGAACGGGATCACCAAGAAAAATCGGCATCCACTCCCCAGGATCGACGAGCTAATTGACCGTTTTCGTGGCGCACGTTATTTCAGTAAACTGGATCTACTCTCAGGATACCACCAACAGAGGATCTACGAACCACACACACACAAAACAGCATTCCGATGCAGATATGGACACTTTGAATTTAACGTCGTCCCATTTGGCCTCACCAACGCACCCGCCTCCTTCTCCAACATGATGCTAAGGGTACTCGACCCGGTTTTGGATAAATGGGTTGTTGTCTATCTAGACGATATTCTTATCTACTCTAAAACTAAGGCCGAGCATCTAAAGCACCTTCGCAGCGTCCTCGCCCTCCTTCGACAACATGGACTTTACGCCAAACTCAGCAAGTGTTCGTTTATGCAGGAGGAAACCGAATTTCTTGGACACACCATCTCCAAGGACGGGATCTCAACTTCAGCAGGACTTGTCAAAGCCATTCGGGAATGGCCACGCCCCACCAGCATCAAAGACGTCCAACAGTTCCTGGGCTTGGCACAATTCTACCAGACTTACATCGACAAGTTCGCCCAGATCGCCCTTCCGCTCTCTCAGCTTCTAGCAGGCGGCGCAACTTTTTCATGGGATAATGACAAGGAACAGGCATTTCTCTCCCTTAAAACCGCCATCAGCTCTGCCCCGGTCCTACGCATATTCGATCCCGACTTGCTAACAACCGTCGAGACCGACGCATCCGGATTTGCTATCGGCGCTGTTCTCTTTCAGACGGACGCATCAGGAGTATCCCGACCCGTTGCTTTCACTTCACGGAAACTTCAACCGGCAGAGAGAAACTACCCAACCCATGAGCAGGAGCTACTGGCAGTTGTGCATGCCCTCAGGACGTGGCGATACTACCTGGATGGATCCCACTTTGTCGTGTACACGGATCATGCAACCCTCCGCCATTTTCCGACACAACCAAAACTCACCCGCCGCCAGGCCCGATGGATGGAGCTACTGCAGGAATATGACTTCGACTTCAAGTACAAGCGCGGAGCCGACAACACAGTACCCGACGCCCTATCTCGCCGACCCGACCATCGTGCAGAAGATCCTGTCAGCCCAACAACAGACACAGTCGAGATCCATTCAATCGATATCCAACTTGAACCAGGTGTGAGGCAGCGCCTGATAGAAGACTACCAGAGCAGCCCCAGGCTCAGTCTCGTCTACAAAAGCTGCCTCGAGGGAAGTGCCCCCTCTGGTTACTCTTTTCATAATGGTCTTCTCTACTATGATCGCCGTGGTACCACCGTCCTTGCCATACCACAGAAAGCTGACATTTGCCGCTCTCTTTTACATGACTGCCACGATACCCCCATAGCTGGTCACTTCGGGTTCAGGAAGACATACGACAAACTGCGACGGATGGCATACTGGCCCAACATGGCCAAGGAGACTCAACTCTACGTCGACTCATGCGAGAAGTGTCAACGCAATAAGCCAAGTCAGGAGCGACCTGCAGGACTCCTCCAACCTCTCCCCATCCCCGCCAGTCGCTGGGAGGTTGTGACCATGGACTTTATGACCCACCTACCCAAGACACCCCGCAACCATGATGCCATTACCGTCTTTGTCGATAAATTATCGAAGCATGTCCACTTCGTTCCCAGCACCACCACCGCTACCGCCACCGACGTTGCTCGCCAGTTTTTCGACAATGTCTTCCGCCATCATGGAATGCCAACGACAATCGTCTCGGATCGCGACAGCAAATTCACCAGTCACTTTTGGCAGGAACTTCATCGACTCATGGATGTCAAGCTTGCAATGTCAACAGCCTATCACCCACAAACGGACGGACAGACGGAGGTCATGAACAAGACACTAGGAGTTATGCTACGCGCTTTCATCGACGAAAAACAGACCAACTGGGATACCCTCCTTCCAGCCGCGGAATTTGCATATAATAACTCCGTCAACCACTCGACCGGCTATTCACCTTTTTTCCTCAACACCGGCCAACATCCCCGCATCCCCGCCAGTCTCCTCTCCCACACCGACAGCAACGTACCCAGCGTTCACAACTATCTTGATCAACAGTCGACAGCACTACTTTTCGCACAAGACGCACTACAACGAGCCCAGGATCATCAGAAGGAACAGGCCGACAAGAGAAGACGCGACCACGACTACAAGGTCGGCGACAAGATCCTCCTTAGTGCAGAGAACATCACCATGCCAGCCGACAGTGGACTCAGCTCGGATAAACTCAAACCTCGCTTCATCGGACCCTTTACATTGCTGGAGCAGCGATCACCAGTCACTTTTCTAGTCGACCTACCGCCCTCCTACAACATCCACAATGTCTTCCACGTCGACCTCTTCCGCCATCACATCGAGTCACCACTTGCATTTGGCCGCCGAACATTAGCACCACCACCACCAGTTGTCATCGAGGGCAATGAAGAATACGAGGTCGAGTCCATTTTGCGTTACAGGAAATACCGACGGCAACACCAGTTCCTTGTGTCATGGAAAGGGTACGGACGGGAGGACCAAACGTGGGAGCCCGTCGCCAACCTGGAGAACTGCCGCGACCTAGTTGACGCGTTCAAAAAGGACCAGGGGATCGTTTTTTAAAAGGGGAAGGTGCAACAGTTGAACCTCCGATCAGAGTAGCTTTAGATAAATAGACACACACTACCATAATACATCCACATCTCTTACTTCCACTCCTCCTAAAGTTGCAAGAAGGAAGCAATGACGACCTCCTGGAATAGATCCTGAGGACCAGCGGCGTAGCGATCTGTCGGCTGAGGCTTGAAGCGATCAACGTATGAGGGTCCGAGGAACTGGGTGCGGCAGCTGATGACCATCTTGGTGTTCCATTGTCCTGGCTGGTTCAGCATGTTGGTTCGGTGCAAATTGACCAGTTGCTGACTCTCATCGTACCCATCGCAGATGAGGATGAGTTGGCGGTGCTGCTTCATCTCCTGGATCTGGTCGTCGCTAAAGTTGTTGGCCCTCAGCTGCTTGCCGATCATGTCCTCGTCTGGGTGTTTGATGGCGGGAAGATTGATGAACAATGGGATGGGTCCGCCTTGCTTATAGTCGATCCAGAGTTGATGCTCAAGATGGCGATTGAATGTCGATTTCCCAGACCCAGAGTCGCCTAGAATCAACATCACTTGACTCTCGCTTGCCAAGAACTCCAGTACTCTCTCTAGGAGAGGAAATGTGTCTTCGTCCTTGGCCTTCAGGCTGGCTTTGGCAAACGGCTGAATGTAAAGTGACAGGCGGCTTTGCTCCAACCTCAGGACTTTGTGCTCGTGGAGATCGTACTCAAGAGGAGGGATATTCTGAACGCGAGCGAGCGTAGGGGATGTTACAGGCAGAGGGAGACGGCTCCTGAGAGGATAGGGAAGATGGGTGGTGGTGTCTTGTTCCTGGTTGAGGTCCTTGAGCAAGGTGTGAGCATTAGCACTGACGACCTGGTCAGTAGTGGTTCCGAGTTGGCGGATGATGTTTAGCATCCAAGTTCTGACGCTTTCATCCTGACCCCACAAAGGATCGGTCATGTACAGCTCTCTAAGAAGATCGACGGCGTGCAGGCGGACGCTGGTATCCCAGATGGTGTCAGAGGCGATCTCGCCCAGCAATTGGCAGATACCCCACTGGAACAAAGGATCACGACGACAGGGTGCCTCATAGATGAGAACATTGAGATCCTTGAGTTGGCCGGCTTGAGCAAAGGCGTAGGCGGCGCGGATGGCGGTGTACCACGGACGCTTCTGACCAGACCCAAGCCCCTCCTTCATGCTCTCAAGCACGCCTCGGCCACTCTCCATCAGCGAACTGGCACCATCATAGACACTACCAGCAACCTCAATGACACCTCCGAGGGTCTCCTGCAGCTTGTCGAGTCCCTCGAGAACTGCTCCCAGATCCAGTTTAAACACCGCCGAGACCTTGACGAGCCCTTCCACAACCCCAGTAGAATGTCGGAGAACGGCCTGCAGCGGAGTCTCATTATTAGGCACATACTGCAGCGCTTGGAACGCATAGCATGCCTGATACATCAAGTAGGGATCTGAACTGGCCTTCAAACCCGGCAACACCCCAGAAAGAGCTTCGTGCTCTTCAAGTCTATCCAAGTCCTTGACCTTGTGCTCCGCCATAATATCAAGCAACCTCGAGACAGCCAACGTGAGATGGAAGGGATGAACAGACGACTGCTGGTGGGTGTCCTGCAGACGAACTCTGAGCACACGAAGGATCTTGACCAGGTCGTCAGGAAGCAGAGCCTCGGATGGAGCAGACTGGACCAACTGCACCAGACCTTGCAACAAATCAACATCCAGAAGCACAGCCTGATCGAATGCCGTGATGGTGCACGACAGCAACCTGCGAAAGTGCTCGTTGTCGAGCACTGGACCAATAAGTACCATCTCGGCAATCTCGGTCGAGTACTTGGAGGCGTCCTTTGCAAACTCATCTACCATGCAAGCCCCTAGCCAACGCAGACGCTCTTGCTCAATAGGGTCTTGCTTCATATAATTAATCCAGGCACGTTGGGCAGTAATGCCAGAGGACAAAATCTGCGAGAGATCCTCTTGCTGGTTGGTGAGATCACTGACCTTGGGGAGCAAGGCAATGCACAAAGCAAGTTGGGGAGTGGTGTCAATGCGGGAACCGAACTCTGGCAGGGTGATGAAGATGGCAGGTGGTTTGATATTTTGTGAGAAAACGTCCAAGCGAGGCATGGCCGGCAGAGCTGACGGCTGGGCACTGGAGGCAGGGCTTTTGACTTCGCTGATGGAGACTGCAAGGTCGATGTCGATATTGTTGGAGAGTTTGTGCCGCTTGTGTCCATGCTGGGAGGAGACTGGCTTGTTATCGACACCATCGCTAGCCTCGCCACTTGCAAGGTCCGAAGGAACCACCTTATCCTCGACAGCGATCGCTGAAAAGCCGTGGGTGATGGATCGTTTATTACCTTTCGAGGAGCGCTGAACCGTCCTATTGCCTGCTCTGCCACTTCTGGTAAAGGCAGAGTTGGTGATGGACTGGGATGCTGTAGAGTGTAAAGTTGCAGTCGACTGAGTGTCGTGGGGTGGTAACCCTGGCGGGGTTTGATGTGATTCCTTGGACATGGTGTGTGCGCTAATAGTAAACAGAGTGGCAGCCGTGACATTGAACATTGGGCTGTGTTGCAAACAAACACATAAGTCAGAAAGCACAATGTCCTTGCTGTCTCTGTTTACCTTGGAGGAAATCAAAGTGCGGGAGACTGGACAAGGTTGAAACGATGTGGTACAGAAGGAGTCGAGAAAAAATATTGAAAACAAAGGGCAATCGCAGAAAACAAAGTGCGATGAGCCAATTCGACCAGGGCAATGTGATGGTATTCCGCGGAATCGAGTAACCAAACAACTCACAATGGGTTGGAGTTGGAGCTGATACTGTTGCTTGCTTGCTTGGCGAGTTTGGGTGCTGTGCTTGGGAAGAAATCTATTTGGATTCAGAGTGTCGGTCGGTGTTTGTCGGTGGTGAAGGGAAAATCATGAATTGACTAAACACTGGCGAAGTCAAGTATGGCCCTACCTGAGTGACAGAGAGAGAGGGATTGTCGTTTTATTGTTTTGTTGCTGCTCTTGGTCCGTTGTGGGCAGATGCTTGGGAGACTAAGCGACCATGGTATTTTCAGATGGCGATAGTTAGCACGCGTTAAACAGAATATGGAGAGGTTCTTCTTGCATGCAAACACGATTGTCCAAGTACTCACAAAGCGATCTCGAACTTCGCGAGAGCGTTTTGTGTTCTTTTGGTGTGTTTTGTATGTTGGCCGGATGGGAAACGACAAGTAGAAGCAAGCAATTGCTATTGGGATGGCAGTGTGAAGGAAAGAGTATGAATGCGAGTGATTGGAGGGCGAAGAGTTGACGTTATGATGTGTTTAGAGTGATGGTCATGGTATTTGAGCTGGGAATTTGGACGTAAGGGGTTGTACCTCTCCAAGGTTGGGGTGCTTGGCACTTGTTAGGTACAAGACGGACAAGACGCAGGATGACGATCGACCGAGCGGGGAGAAGATGTAGAGAACGGAGAAAGAGAAAGTAGGACGATGGAAGGATGTTGGAATGACTAACAGGTGCGAATGTAGGTAGAGTGTAATGAGAGCCAAGGAGACTGGCGGTGAAGAAGACGAATGAAGGAGATGGAGAGTAGTGATGAGGGGAGCAAGGTGAGTGTGGCAAAGTGGAAAGAGAGAGAGAGGGAGCAGAAGAAAGAAAGTAAATATGGAGGCGTCCCATGGTATACTTGTAAGCATGCTTTGTTGTTTTTGCTTGTTTATTTGTTCTCTGGCAGGGTATGCCTTTCCTTTCCTTGTCCCTGGCAGACAATGCATTCGCCATCTTTTTTTTCTTTTTTCCTACCGTAGATCGATTGAACAATTATGCTTTTCCTGTGGGACAGAAACGCAAACAATGGTGAGCGCAAACTGAAATGAACATGGGAAGTGGCAAGACGCTTACGAACGGTCTTCGCCAGTCGAGCAAGAATGTCTTGTTAGATCGCCCGGGGATTGTGCCAAGGTAATCCAGGAGAAAACGCCCTTTCACCAGGCAGTCTTTCTTTGGTCGCCCTAGGTATACGTTTACACGTATGCTTGCGTCCTTTCTACGATATTTCGTATTTGATGGGTGACTCCTTCTGGTGCACTCCTGCTGTTCAGAGAAGAGATATATATATCTTTCATGGCCATGTCCATCATTATCGGGTACATCCACTGTCCGAGTCTTGAAGTCCTTGTCCAAAGGAGGATGAAAACATTGACTGCATTGAGATAACCATTCTATCTCGATTTATGAATCACGTCTTTAGTTTTTCTTTCCATCGTTTTCCTGTGGTGTTGCGGTGTTGTCTCTTCTGTCCTGGTATCCATTGCGTAGTTTCTATGAAATAATGATGGACATATCAACTTTAATTGCCCAAGGCATCCACACTCGCATCTTCAAGGAATCCCCTATCCACTCATTGCTTGTTCAAAGTGACCCGGCCAAAAAGAAAAGAGTAACCATTTTCCTCACATTTCAAATACCAAACCATAGTCCGTTTCCTCGTTCATAGTTGCTCATCTTTGTTAAAAGACATGTTCTCTAGTATTGCCTTTCTTCAGGCCCTAGTTGGTGCTCGTCTAATCGTCTCTTCATCTGTTTCTTCTCTCTATCTTCCTTGTTCCGAACTTGCTGCAAGTGGTGGGCTGGGTTGGTCATGTTTATGGGCGTTCCCTAGTTAGTGATAGTGCCTTCTTCCATGACGACTCTTGGGTGTGTAGGTGGGAGTGGAGGGCAGGAGAATCGGCATAGTAGGATACAAAGAAAAGCATGTGTATGGCATGACAAAGAGTGAAGGGTGGAAAAAAGATAACGAGAAAACAAGGAAGAAAGAGGGTAGGAAAGAAGAAGGGCAGGAGGGGCGTCCATCCTAGCGAGTGGTAATACTTTGCTGCCATTGATCATTGATCATTGGTAAAGGCGCGCATGTCTCCGTGCGTTCTCTGCTCGACCCCACCTTCTCCATTAAGCCCAAATACAACATTACCACTGACGTGCTGCCTCATAGGTATAAACACAGCAAACACCATCCTCTTCCTTCACGAACACACACAGTTGAGGTCATCTCTGGCTGTACTTCCATAGAAATTAAGAAAGCAATATCGCAAAACGATCACCTCCTCAAATTGGGTATAAGCCACAAATAAAATCTTTGAAAATCGTTCATCAACGTCAAATTAAGTCTCCCTTTTGTCTCAACGCGTCCTGTCAATCAAGTGCGTTCTCGTCCTGTCCTCTAGTCGCGTACGGTAACCCTACGCGGCCCTCAGTTACGGTCGACACGATATACAGATCATATTACAAGGGCGTCCTTGACCTTTTATTCCCACAACAGAAAGCAATGGTCAGAAAAGGAAAAGCAGGGAGAGAGAGAGAGAGAGAGAGAGAGATCAAGAAAATGACAGGACAGAATAACGACCGATCCTCACAACCTTTCTTTCTTTTTCTTGACGATCAATGAGACACACACTCATAGCAGGATGGTGAGCGAAAACAAAAAAAAGAAAGAGAGAACCAATATTGAACCCGTTACATTGTGCAGGGCAGAGAGGAAAGAAATAGGAGAAACGCAACAGAAAAAAAGGCAACTTACACAAGTAATATATTTGATTGTTCGTCGCAAAAAAAAAGGCGAGTAAAAGCCTAACAAAGGTCCTTCCCTTTATCCTTCATCTTTGCTTCTATTCCACAACAATAACAACCAACGCATTCCTTCGCTCACCACTGGCGTAACAGTAACTCGTTTCGATTTAGTAAAGTAAACAGTTTGACTTCAACCATAACACTGTTTATCGCACGCACGGCATAAGTCTGGGGTTTTTTTTGAGAGCGATAATTTTTTGGTGTGTTTGGTGAGAAGCTGGATTATAAGTCAAGGGACAACAGCTTGTCGCTCCTAGCTTATTTTTCCGTTTTGAGCATCACGCATGAGTCTGACGAAGGAGAAGGAGAACAAGGAGAAAAAAATGCAACAGAAGAACCTGGACGCGTCAAGAGCCCCGCGATTCAACAACCACACGCTTTTTTTCATTCCGGCTTTTACATCACAATGTGAACAAAAAGGTACCAGGACAATGCAGAAAGAAACAGATATGGTTCTTTTCAAGAAACAATACATGCAGGAACACTTTGCTTGACAAAATCTTCACAGAGAATATGTCGTTGTTTTTGTGTATATTATCAATGTATTCATCGGCGCGCCGAAATCCATCCGCTACTCATCTTCAGACTCATCGTCAGATCCATCATCGTCTTCAGACTTATCGTCAGATCCATCGTCGTCTTCAGACTCATCGTCAGATCCTTCGTAGTCCGGAGGCAACACCCCGTCGAAGGCACTGCGTTGAGATATCAACTCCTGGTGGGATGGACTCAGACCAGTCGCACCCTCAAGAACCACGCCTGCGGTGCAAAGCGTCCTAAGATTGGTTCCCCAGAGCATCTTCACGGACATGGTTCCATCGTCGCCCGACACTCGCCATACTCGGACAGACCTATCATTGCTGGCTGTGATGAACTCCTTCGGGATAACTGGATTCCAAGACAGGCTTACGACTAGCGCAGAAAACACACGAAGCGAGGCTGCGCAAGACCAGCTTTCGATGTCTCCTTCGACCAACTGACGATACCAGAGATGCAGAATATAGTCCTTAGATTGTGCCAGAAACTGACCGCATGGCGAGTAGGCGACAGTCGCGCATTTAGCCATGGGCTCAAACGAACTGACAGGGACCTTCAATTCCAGACCAGGCTCGTCCGACTGCAGGTCCCACAAGACAATCGACGTCTCTGTGCCCAAAGCAAGTTGTTGACCATTGGGCGAGTAGTCCAGGGTCAAGATTGGGACCTCCCTCAGCTTCTTGGACGTCAAGAGGACTCTTGTTCGTGGATCGAAAAGCCCACCTTTCTCATCCTCCGAGCACACTGCAAGTTGATGACCTGTCGGTGAGAACTTCAAGTCATTGATACAATTGTTGTTGTCTCCATCTCCAACAAGAATGCATTGCTGCTCCGTATCATAAAGGTCCCACAATCGTACAACGTTACGGTGGTCGCAAGAGGCGATCCAGCGACCACAAATTGAATAAGCAACAATCTTCACCGCGCCCGAATTCCCATTCAAGACTAGCCCAGCTGCGCCAGTTCTGCAATCCCACAATCGCACTGAACCATCCTCGCACCCGGTCGCGACTTGATTGCCGTCCGCCGAAAACGCCACGCAGTTGATCATCTCTGGGTCCGGAAACTCAAACGACACTGATCCGAGCAATCCTGTTGTAGCATTCCCTTGTCGGATAACACCAGGGCGATACCTAGAGGGGCCAGGTACGTTATCGATAGAGAGTACAGATAGGCCATTGGAAGAGTAGGTCACCAGACAAGAGTCGCCGATCTGATCTTGTATTGCAATGCTAGAGGGACTAGAGCTGGCCTCCCATAGTCGCACTGTTCCGTCACCAGATCCTGATGCAATGGTAAGACCGTCCGGAGAGAACGCAACGCCGGTTATATAGGTCAAGTGACCGTCAAACGTGGAAATAATGTCGCCTGTGGATGCGTCCCATAACATCGCCCTGCAGTCGTCGCTAGAAGTGGCGACCAATTGGCCGTCGGGTGAGAATGTGATTCCCATAACAGTGTTAGTATGGCCTTGTAGAACAGGATCTGGGCTACCGGAGACCATATCCCACAGCCGCACATTGCCGTCACCGTGACCAGAAGCTATCCATCGGCCGTCTGGAGAAATGGCAAGACTGTGAATCTCTCCCAAAGAAGGACGCAAGACGACCCCTGGCTCTCCTGTCTCCGAGTCCCAAAACCGAATCGTTCCATCACCACTGCCTGATATGAGCTGCCGTCCATCCGGGGAGAACCTGGCGCTAGCGACCCACTCAGTATGGCCTTCCAAAACAAAGATGCACACTCCCGTCCCTGAATCCCAGAGTCGCACCGTTTTGTCGTCACTGACCGAGGCAATATGGTTGCCGCAAGGCGAGTACGCCAATGAGCGTATGGGATCAGTGTGCCCCTCCATGGTCAACAATTCCTCGCCACTTGTGCAATCCCACAGCCGAACCAATCCCCCCCAGTCTCCAGATGCGATTCGTTGGCTGTCAGGCGAGAAAGCAACAGATATGACATACTCGGCAGCTGTGATTAGATTAACTCGTTCCCATGTGGAGGTGTCGTAAATACTGATGCCAAGGCCTTCACCCCATACCGCCACTCCCAGCATCCTTCCGTCAGGCGAGTAGGCAAAGGCTTTTACAGGACCCTCCGCCTTGAGGTATGGCAGCTCCCCGAACTGGACGCCCTCCAACTGCGCATGGCTCAAATTCGCTTGCCGCAACCAACTCCCTGAAAGACTAACACCCGTTAGATCAGCGCCTTGGAACTGTGCATAGTCGAACTGGCCGTAGGAAAGATCGGCGCCAGGAACCTTGATGCCACGGAGATCTGCACCGTGGAAGGCAACACCGGCTCTGACGAGGACCGTGATGGCATTGGTGGCGGCGATGGTGGCACTGGAATCGGTCTTGGACTGGTCGATGACAGCGCGGAGGTATTGCTCAAAATGCGGGTCGAGCCTCACGCGGTCGCACAGGAATTGGATAATCGACGGCTCCTTCAGCAAGTCCCTCTGGAATAAAGGGCCATTGGTGTCGGACGAAAGGGAGGCTGGGGATGTAGTCTCACTTGAGGAGTCAAAGTCCTGCTCGTCAACCTTAGCCAGGCTGTAAATGATGCGTGAGAGTAAATATTCAAGCATGGACCGGTGGACAAAGCGATACTGATTCCCAGTGCGCATCAATGGACTGGCCTCACGGAGCAGCTTAGTCTCGGGACCAGTACCAAAGAACGCCGCCTTCCAGGAGTCCTTGTCATGTCGATGGATATATTGGACGATCGGGTTTCCGTTCTGCTCCTGAAAGATTGCTGCAGACAGACGCAGCAGATAGTCGATTCCGCATCCAATAAAGTCACCCTCCATCAGCGAATTGAATGCCATCAGTTCTTCCTTGCTCAGTGCGCTCATACGCAAACGGACTTGATTCGTCTCAAGCCACTGCTTTACAAACATATCATAGAGTCCGACTCGGGTGACACGCATGCTTGACAGGTTGCTATTTGAGGCGACCAGGCGAGGCAGAGCATTGAGAGCAAGCGTGAGGAGGAACGGGTTCTTGACGAGGTCCCTGACATTGGGGATCGTTGTTAACTTGTCCATGTACTCCTTCGCCGACCACATAGCTCGGTTCTGGAATAATAGCGCCGTCTGTGGATCCTGCACATACAGCCCGACATAGTTCTCAATCTGGTCCTTGGAGAAAGGAGCAATGACAGCCTCCTGGAATAGATCCTGCAAGCCAGCGGCGTAGCTATCTGATGGTAGCGGTTTGAAGCGATCGTCGTACGAGGGTCCGAGGAACTGGGTACGGCAGCTGATGACCATCTTGGTGCTCCATTGTCCTGATTGGTTCAGCATGTTGGTTCGGTGCAGATTGACCAGTTGCTGACTCTCATCGTACCCATCGCAGATAAGGATGAGTTGGCGGCGCTGCTTCATCTCCTGGATCTGGTCATCACTAAAGTTGTTGGCCCTCAGCTGCTTGCCGATCATGTCCTCGTCTGGGTGTTTGATGGCGGGAAGATTGATGAACAATGGGATGGGTCCGCCTTGCTTATAGTCGATCCAGAGTTGATGCTCAAGATGGCGATTGAATGTCGATTTCCCAGACCCAGAGTCACCTAGGATCAACATCACTTGACTCTCGCTTGCCAGGAACTCCTGTACTTTCTCCAGGAGAGGAAACGTGTCTTCGTCCTTGGCCCTCAGACTGGCTTTGGCAAACGGCTGAATGTAAAGTGACAGGCGACTCTGCTCCAACCTCAGGACTTTGTGCTTGTGGAGATCGTACTCAAGAGGAGGGATATTTTGAACGCGAGCGAGCGTAGGGGATGTTGCAGGCAGAGGAAGGCGGTTCCTGAGTGGGTAAGGAAGATGGGTGGTGGTGTCTTGTTCCTGGTTGAGGTCCTTGAGCAAGGTGTGAGCACTGGCACTGACGACCTGGTCAGTAGTGGTTCCGAGTTGGCAGATGATGTTTAGCGTCCAAGTCCTGACGCTTTCATCATGGCCCCACAAAGGATCGGTCATGTACAGCTCTCTAAGAAGATCGATGGCGTGCAGGCGGACGCTGGTGTCCCAGATGGTGTCAGAGGCGATCTCGCCCAGCAATTGGCAGATACCCCATTGGAACAAAGGATCACGACGACAGGGTGCCTCATAGATGAGAACATTGAGATCCTTGAGTTGACCGGCTTGAGCAAGGGCGTAGGCGGCACGGACGGCAGTGTACCACGGACGCTTCTGACCAGACCCAAGCCCTTCCTTCATGCTCTCAAGCACGCCTCGGCCACTCTCCATAAGCGAACAGGCACCATCATAGACACTACCAGCAACCTCAACGACACCTCCGAGAGTCTCTTGCAGCTTGCCGAGTCCTTCGAGAACTGCTCCCAGATCCAACTTAAATACCGCCGAGACCTTGACGAGTCCTTCCACAACCCCAGTAGAATGTCGGAGAACGGCCTGCAGCGGTGATTCATTGTTGGGGACATACTGCAGCGCTTGGAACGCATAGCATGCCTGATACATCAAGTAGGGATCTGAGCTAGCCTTCAAACCCGACAACACCTCAGACAGAGGTTCGTGTTCCTCAACTCGATCCAAGTCCTTGACCTTGTGCTCCGCCATGACATCAAGCAGCCTCGAGACAGCCAAAGTGAGATGGAAAGGATGAACAGACGACTGCTGGTGGGTGTCCTGCAGACGAACTCTGAGTACATGGAGGATTTTGACTAGGTCGTCAGGAAGCAGAGCCTCGGAGGGAGCAGACTGGACCAATTGCACCAGACCTTGCAGCAAATCTACATCCAAAAGCACAGCCTGGTCGAATGCCGTGATGGTGCACGACAGCAACCTGCGATAGTGCTCGTTGTCGAGAACAGGGCCAATAAGTACCATCTCAGCAATCTCGGTCAGGTCTTTTGAGGCATCCTTTGCAAACTCGTCCACCATGCGAGCTCCAAGCCATCGCAGACGTTCCTGCTCAACGGGGTCTTCCTTCAAAGCACCAAGCCAGGCAAGATGGGCAGGAGTGCTAGACCACAGGATCTGCAAGGGATCCTCTTGCTGGTCAATGGGGACAACACTGTTGGGGAGCAATCCAAGACATAGGGCCAGCTGAGGAGTGGTATCAATGCGGGAACCGAAGTCTTGTAAAGCGATGAGGACGACAGGGGCGTTGATATTTTGTGGAAAGACGTCCAAGCGTGTTATGGCCGGCAGAGCTGACGGCTGGGCACAGGAAGCAAGACTTTTGACCTCGCTGATGGAGACTGTATGTTCGATGTCAACACTGCTAGAAACTTCAACCTCATACTCGATGTCACCACTATACTGAGTGCTGATAATTGAGAGGCGATGAAGATTCGCTTCGGTGCTAGCGGTGGAGAATCGGTCAAGAGATGTCTTGGGACTCTGCGACTGATTGTCCCTGGGTGTTGAGGTCGATGGTCGAAAGAATCCGAACAGCTTGTCCCGCTTGCGAACACGCTGGGAGGAGACGGACTTGTTGTCGCCACCATCATCAGTGTCGCCACTTGCAAGGTCCGAATGAACCAGGTTACCCTTGACAAGGATCGTTGTGAGGCCGTGACCGATGGATCGATCATTGTCTGTTGAGGAGGGCTGAACCGTCGTATTGCCTGCTCTGTCACTGCTGGTAAAGGCAGAGTTGGTGCTCGACTGAGATGTCGTGGAGCGGAGAGTCGCAGTGGACTGAGCGTTGTAAGGTGACCCGAGTGAGGTAGGATGTGTTTCCTTGGACATGGTGTGTGCTAATAAACAGAGTAGCAACCGTGACTTTCAACATTAGGCTGTGTTACAAATAAACACATAAGTCAGAAAGCGCAATATCCTTGCTGTCTCTGTTTACCTTGGAGGAAACCAAAGTCCTTTGTTGGTGCTGGAGACTGGACAGGGTTGAAACGGTGTGGTATGAAAAAATAATTGAAGGCGGGGTCTACGGCGTAATGAAAGAGAAAAAGAAAAATAGGGAAAAAAAGAAAAAAAACACATTAGTCGATGTAGAAAGCGCGATGCTCATCCGCGGAGTTGAGTGAACGAACAACTCACAATGGGAAAGGAGATGGAGCTGATGCTGCTGCCTGCTTGTTTGGCGGGTTTGGGTGCTGAGCGGTATGTGCTCGGGAAGAAATCTATGCGCATGCATGGAGAGTGTTGGTCAATACTTGTCCGCGGTGGGAGAAAATCAAACACTGGCAAATGGTCTAGAATGGCCCTACCTGAGTGGCAGGGAGAGCGGGATTGTTGTTTCGTTGTTGCTCTTGGTCCGTTGTGGACAGTTGCGTGGGAGACTAAGCGACCATGTTATTTTCGTATGACGAGAGTTAGCACGCGCTAAACAGAATATGGAAAGGTTCTTCTTGCATGCAAACACGATTGTCCAAGTACTCACAAAGCGATCTCGAACCTCGCGAGAGCGTTTTGTGTTCTTTTGGTGTGTTTTGTATGTTGGCCGGATGGGAAACGACAAGTAGAAGCAGGCAATTGCTATTGGGGCAAGTGATTGGAGGGCGAAGAGTTGACGTTATGATGTGTTTAGAATGATAGTCATGGTATTTGAGCTGGGATATTGGACGTGGGGGGCTGTACCTCTCCAAGCTTGGAGTGCTCGGTACTTGTTAGGAACAAGACGGACAAGCACACAGGAAGGCGATTGACTGAGCGCGGAGAAAGTGCAGAGTACTGAAAAAGAGAACGTTGTACGATGGATGGATGTTGGAATGACCAACAGGTACTAATGTAGGTAAGGTGTGATGAGAGACAAAGTGATTGATGGTGAAGGAAACGAATGGAGGAGATGGAGAATAATGAGGAGGGGAGCAAGGTGAGGTTGCGAAGTGGAAAAAGAGAGAGGGAGGGAGCAGAAGAAAGAAAGTAAATAAAGGGACACCCCATGGTATGGGTGTAAGCATGCCTTGTTGTTTTTGTTTGTTTGTTTGCGTGTTCTCTGACAGGGTGTGCCGTTCTTCTCCTTGTCCCTGGCAGACAATGCAGTCGCCATCTTTTTTTTCTTTTTTTTGTCATTGATCGATTGGTTAATTGTATGGGACTAGAACAGGTACCCCCGGCTTCGCTCGCGGAGGTGTGGAGCAAGTGTCAAATGATAGAATAGTAATCTTGAATATTGCAACTTTTTTGTCTGCCTTCTATTTTTCTCCCCCTGCCTTGCTTTCTTTTTTTCATTTATTTTACTGACATCAGATCTCCCACAAATCGTGCAGGCGTGCCAGGCCAGACTAATCCAAGCCACGGCCTCGGGAAAGAGGTGTCAGGCGGGACCCCGTATGAATGCCTTGAAGTGGCCAGCATCGAGCCAGCCCTCCGCATCACCGACGCGACCTGTCGGATCTGATGAGCCCTCTGTCAGTCGAGATCTCGGTCAAAGATTTTATACAGCAATCCCCTTTCTTTCCATCAAATGCAACACCGTCTTGCCATGAACGTGCTGTACAACCCTCTCGTCCGCCTCACCCAGACCTTGTTTGACAAATCGACTCGTTTCCTTGTTATTCTTGTCATTGATCGGTTGGTTAATTATATGGGGTAGGAACGCCAACAGCGGCGAACGCTGGCACAAAATGAGGCAAGACACTCGCAAGTTATTTGTAGAAAAGTCTTTTGGCAGAGGACAAAAAGTCATAAACGCGAAAATGAAATGGGTGCGCGTCAAAGCAATCAAAAACTGATCTTCACAAACGGTCTTCGCCAGTCAAACAGGTATGTCTTGTTAGGAATCGCTGATGGCGACGATTTTCCAATCTGCCAATGGTAATTCAGAAGATAAGAAACAAGGAACCCCTCCACCTGATAGTTTTCTTGTGGGGGTCTTGGAGGGAGTTGCCCTTGGCTGGCCGAGTCGTTGGCGTCAGTGCCCGGTTGAACAGGGTCACTTGTCGAGGGAGAGGGAGAAGGGAGAGTGGAGTTTCTCTCGGCAACTCCTGTATCCAAAGGAGCATCTTCGGGGTCAACGGGCATAACTCGAATAGCGGCAGACGAGGAAAAGGATGTATGTATAAATGTGTGTGATATGTGTGTGTGATATGTGTGTGTGTGTGTGTGTGTGTGTGTGTGTGTGTGTGTGTGTGTGTGTGTGTGTGTGTGTGTGTGTGTGTGTGTGTGTGTGTGTGTGTGTGTGTATGTATGTGCTCCCTCTCAATATCGCGAATAAAGACAGTACCTCTCAAGACCTGCTCGTATCGTGGAAGAAAGGTGTTTTATGTCAATAACTATTCTCCAAAGGCTAGAAACCAATGGTCAAAGGGCATAGTGCCTACCTGCTCGTATCGTGGAAGAAAGGTGCTTTTCCAGACATTCGCAGGCAAGCGCGTAAAATAGCAAAATGGCCACCAGAAGCTAAGCCACTCCAAATCACCACATTCTTTGGTTGGCCTGGGTTTACGTTTACTTGCGTCCTTTTTATGATATTTCATATTTGACGGATGGCTCCTTTTGACGCTCTCCTGCTGCTCAGAGAGGAAATGTATGTCTTTCATGGCCATGTCTACCATGATCGGGCATTGTCCACAGTCCACGCCTTGAAGTTCTTGTCCAAAGAAGATGAAAACGTCGACTTTATTAAAACAACCATTCTATATTGATTTATGAATCAACGTCTTTAGTTTTCATTTTCATGGGTTTCCTGTGGTGTCGTTCCTTCTGTCCTGGTATCCTTTGAGTAGTTTCTAGATATGATAAATGACATATCATCGAGGACGCAAATGTTTCTTGTCCTGAGCACACTCGCACCCCCTTTTGACCGCGTCCTCCCATTGTTGTTCAAAGAGACCCAGCCAAAAAGAAAAGAAAAGCCATTCTCCTTCTGTTCCAGTGTTCCTTGCTTCATAATACCAATGCCATATCCCCATCATCCAAGGCAATTCCACGACTACTAGATCAAATTATGTCAATGCCATCCAAGTACCTTTCACAAACCATCAGCCCCAGTGAACAAACCCGGGACAAAAAACACAAAAGGTAGAAGTGACGGAAGGTGGCCTTCCAACTCCAAATTATCATATGGTGTTTGTTACATCTCTGCAGATCTTGCTGATGTCCACTGCGACCATTAGAGGAGAATGTATGTATGATATCAACCATGTAAAACAACCACTGTAACATCCCTCGTGTAATCATCCTAACAGTAACCCGTTTCGATTTAGTAAAGTAAACTGTTTGACTTCAATATCTAGCGGAGCCGAAGATATGAAGGCTCAAGCCTATTATCCGAGTGCCAGGACCATGTATGTGTTATCTTCTTTTATTGTATAAAATGCGAAAATCCAGAAAACTAAACGAAAGTGAAAAGAGAAAAAAAAAAAAAAAAGTTCTGCTCAGGCACCAGATCTGTCCCTTATCTTCGTGGTGTGAGCCAGGTGCCAGGAGACTAAAAGGGTGGGAAAACAAAAAATCCAAGGGCGGGACATATATGGTCCTGGCCCCCGGATAATAGGCTTGAGCCTTCATATCTCCGACTCCGCTAGATATTATCCGTCGGGCCAGGACCATATATGTGGATCCAGAGCAGAAGTTATGACAGAAACCAACGACGTGAAATTGGTCGCGGTTGCTCGCGTCAGGCGGTAGTAGTTGTTGACAATCACGTCGTTGACATGGGCACCCTTCTTGATGGCCCCTGTAGGGCCGATCGCGCGGGCTTTGGGTCGAGTCTTGTTCGGCGGGAGGCCGAGTAGGTCGATGATCGCGGCGATGTGGTTGCTGATCGTTTGACTGGTGACAGTTGTCGTGGGGAAGCGGACGTCGCGAATGAGAGGTCGATGGGGGAGAGGGTTGTTCCATGGGGACCTGCTGAGAAGGGTGAACTCTGATGATGCGGGCAATGTCCCTGGCGAAACAAAAGAAGATAAGGGACAGATCTGGTGCCTGAGCAGAACTTATTTCATTTTTTTTTCTCTTTTCACTTTCGTTTACTTTTCTGAATTTTCGCATTTTATATACAATAAAAGAAGATAACACATATATGGTCCTGGCCCGACGGATATCCATAACACTGTCTATCGCACGCACGGCATAAGTCTGGGGGTTTTTTTAGAGCGATAATTTTTTGGTGTGTTTGGTGAGAAGCTGGATTATAAGTCAAGGGACAACAGCTTGTCGCTCCTAGCTTATTTTTCCATTTTGAGCATCACGCATGAGTCTGAAGCGCAGGGAGAAGGAGAAGGAGAATGAGGAGAAAAAAATGCAACAGAAGAACCTGGACGCGTCAAGAGCCCCACGATCCAACAACCACACGCTTTTTTTCATTCCAGCTTTTACATCACAATGTGAACAAAAAGGTACCAGGACAATGCAGAAAGAAACAGATATGGTTCTTTTCAAGAAACAATACATACAGGAACACTTTGCTTGACAAAATCTTCACAAAGAAAATGTCGCTGTTTTTGTGTATGTTATCAGTGTATTCGTCGGCGAGCCGAAATTCATTCGCTACTCATCTTCAGACTCATCGTCAAATCCTTCGTCGTCCGAAGGCAACACCCCGTCAAAGGCACTGCGTTGAGATATCAACTCCTGGTGGGATGGGCTCAAACCAATCGCACCCTCAAGAACCACACCTGCGGTGCAAAGCGTCCTAAGATTGGTTCCCCAGAGCATCTTCACGGACATGGTTCCATCGTCACTCGACACTCGCCATACTCGGACAGACCTATCATTGCTGGCTGTAATGAACTCCTTCGGGATAGCTGGATTCCAAGACATGCTTACGACTATATCAGAAAACACACGAAGCGAGGCTGCGCAAGACCAGCTTTCGATGTCTCCTTCGACCAACTGACGATGCCAGAGATGCAGAATATGGGCCTTAGAGTGTGCCAGAAACTGACCGCATGGCGAGTAGGCGACATACGCGCAATTAGCAATGGGCTTAAACGAACTGACATGCACTTTCAATTCCAGACCAGGCTCGTCCGACTGCAGGTCCCACAAGACAATCGAGCACAAAGTGCCCAAAGCAAGTTGCTGACCATTGGGCGAGTAGTCCAGTGCCAGGATTGGGACCTCCCTCAGCTTCTTGGACGTCAAGAGGACTCTTGTTCGTGGATCGAAAAGTCCGACTTTCCCATCCTCCGAGCACATTGCAAGTTGATGTCCTGTCGGTGAGAACTTCATTTCAATGATGCAGTTGTCGTTGTCTCCACCTGTAGCAAGAATGCATTGCTGCTCCGTATCATAAAGGTCCCACAATCGTACAATCTCATCGTGGTCGCAAGAGGCGATCCAGCGACCACAGGTTGAATAAGCAAGAATCTTCACTGCGCCCGAATTCCCATTCAAGACTAGCCCAGCTGCGCCAGTTCTGCAGTCCCACAATCGCACAGAACCATCCTCGCACCCGGTTGCGACTTGATTGCCGTCCGCCGAAAACGCCACGCAGTTGATCATCTCTGGGTCCGGAAACTCAAACGACACTGATCCGAGCAATCCTGTTGTAGCATTCCCTTGTCGGATAACACCAGGGCGATACCTAGAGGAGACAGGTACGTTATCGATAGAGAGTACAGATAGGCCATTGGGAGAATAGGCCACCAGACAAGAGTCACCGATCTGATCTTGTATTGCAATGCTGGAGGGACTAGAGCTCGCCTCCCATAGTCGAACTGTTCCGTCACCAGATCCTGATGCAATGGTAAGACCGTTCGGAGAGAAGGCAACGTCGTTTACATAGGTCAAGTGACCAAACGTGGAAATAATGTCGCCTGTGGATGCGTCCCATAACATCACCCTGAAGTCGTCGCTTGAAGTTGCGATCAATAGGCTGTTCGGAGAGAATGCGATTCCAGTAACAGTCTTGGTGTGGCCTTGTAGTACAGGACCTGGGCTACCGGAGACCATATCCCACAACTGCACATCGCCGTCCTCGTGACCGGAAGCTATCCATCGGCCGTCTGGAGAACAGGCAAGACTGTAAATCTTCCCCAACAAAGGACGCAAGACGACTCCTCGCTCTCTTGTCTCCGAGTCCCAAAACCGAATCGTTCCATCCGCGCTGCCTGATATGAGCCGTCCATCCGGGGAGAACCTGACGCTCGCGACCCACTCAGTATGGCCTTCCAAAACAAAGATGCACACTCCCGTCTCTGAATCCCTGCAACATATTAGGTTTATCATTGCTCTCTAGTTAGTCATTCCTTGTCACTCTCTATCATCTCTGACTCACTATGACACTACACCTAGAAACCTAGTTGGCGACTTTGTATATATATTTAGTTGTACCATAGTAATAACATCAATCATCACTGCTTCAACTCTCGTCCCCGTTCTATACTTCTCTGTCCCAGTCTTCGCCTGTTGCAATCCCAGAGTCGCACCGTTTTGTCGTCACTGACCGAGGCAATATGGTTGCCGCAAGGCGAGTACGCCAATGAGCGTATGATATTGGTGTGCCCCTCCATGGTCAACAATTCATCGCCGCTTATGCAATCCCACAGCCGAACCATTCCCCCCCAGTCTCCAGATGCGATTCGTCGACTGTCAGGCGAGAAGGCAATAGTTAAGACATATCCGGTAGCTGTGATTAGATGAATTCGTCGCCATGTTGAGGTGTCGTATATACTGATGCCAAGGCCATCACCATCCACCATCACTCCAAGCATCCTTCCGTCAGGCGAGTAGGCACATGCTGTTATGGAGCCCCCCATCTTGAGGTATGGCAGCTCTCCAAACCGGACGCCTTCCATCTGTGCATGGCTCAGATCCGCTTGCCGCAACCAACTTCTCGAGAGATTGGCTCTTGTCAGGTCAGCGCCTTGGAACTGTGCAGAGTCGAATTGCCCGTCGGAAAGGTCGGCGCCAGGGACCTTGATGCCACGGAGATCAGCTCCGTTGAACAGAGCGCCAGCTCTGATCAGGATCGTGATGGCATTGGTGGCAGCGATGGTGGCACTGGAATCAGTCTTGGACTGGTTGATAACCGCGCGGAGTTGTTGCTCAAAATGCGGGTCGAGCCTCACGCGGTCGCACAGGAACTGGATAATCGACGGCTCCTTGAGCAGGTTTCTCAGGTACAGAGGGCCATTGATGTCGGACGAAAGGGAGGCTGGGGATGTAGTCTCAATTGAGGAGTCAAAGTCCTGCTCGTCAACCTTGGCCGGGTTGTAAATGACGCGTGAGAGGAAATACTCAAGCATGGACCGGTGGACAAAGCGATACTGATTCCCAGTGCGCATCAATGGACTGGCCTCACGGAGTAGCTTAGTCTCGGGATCAGTACCAAAGAACACCGCCTTCCAGGAGTCCTTGTCATGTCGATGGATATATTGGACGATCGGGGTTCCACCCTGCTCCTGAAAGATCGCCGCAGAGAGACGCAGCAGGTAGTCGATTCCGCATCCAATAAAATCCTCCTCCATCAGCGAATTCAATGCCGTCAGTTCTTCCTTGCTCAGTGCGCTCATACGCAAACGGACTTGATTCGTCTCAAGCCACTGCTTTACAAACATATCATAGAGTCCGACTCGGGTGACACGCATGCTTGACAGATCGCTATTCGAGGCGACCAAGCGAGGCAGAGCCTTGAGAGCAAGCGTGAGGAGGAACGGGTTCTTGACGAGGTCTTTGACATTAGGGATCGTTGTCAGCTTATCAATGTACTCCTTCGCCGGCCACACAACTTGATTCTGGAATAACAGCGCCGTCTGTGGATCCTGCACATACAGCCCGACATAACTCTCGATCTGCTCCTTGGAGAAGGGAGCAATGACGACCTCCTGGAATAGATTCTGGGAACTAGACGCGTAGCGATCTGATGGTAGCGGTTTGAAGCGATCGTCGTACGAGGGTCCGAGGAACTGGGTGCGGCAGCTGATGACCATCTTGGTGTTCCATTGTCCTGGCTGGTTCAGCATGTTAGTTTGGTGCAGATTGACCAATTGCTGATTCTCGTCGTAGCCATCGCAGATGAGGATGAGTTGGCGGTGCTGCTTCATCTCCTGGATCTGGTCGTCGCTAAAGTTGTTGGCCCTCAGCTGCTTGGCGATCATGTCCTGGTCTGGGCGGTCGATGGCGGGAAGATTGATGAACAATGGGATGGGTCCGCCTTGCTTATAGTCGGTCCAGAGTTGATGCTCAAGGTGGCGATTGAATGTCGATTTCCCAGACCCAGAGTCACCTAGGATCAACATCACTTGATGCTCGCTTGCCAGGAACTCCAGTACTTTCTCCAGGAGAGGAAAGGTATCTTCGTCCTTGGCCCTCAGACTGGCTTTGGCAAACGGCTGAATGTAAAGTGACAGGCTACTCTGTTCCAACCTCAGGACTTTGTGCTTGTGGAGATCGTACTCAAGAGGAGGGATATTTTGAACGCGAGCGAGCGTAGGGGATGTTGCAGGCAGAGGAAGGCGGTTCCTGAGTGGGTAAGGAAGATGGGTGGTGGTGTCTTGTTCCTGGTTGAGGTCCTTGAGCAAGGTGTGAGCACTGGCACTGACGACCTGGTCAGTAGTGGTTCCGAGTTGGCAGATGATGTTTAGCGTCCAAGTCCTGACGCTTTCATCATGACCCCACAAAGGATCGGTCATGTACAGCTCTCTAAGAAGATCGATGGCGTGCAGGCGGACGCTGGTGTCCCAGATGGTGTCAGAGGCGATCTCGCCCAGCAATTGGCAGATACCCCATTGGAACAAAGGATCACGACGACAGGGTGCCTCATAGATGAGCACGTTGAGATCCTTGAGTTGGCCAGCTTGAGCAAAGGCGTAGGCGGCACGGACGGCAGTGTACCACGGACGTTTCTGACCAGACTCGAGCCCCTCCTTCATGCTCTCAAGCACGCCTCGGCCACTCTCCATAAGCGAACAGGCACCATCATAGACACTACCAGCAACCTCAACGACACCTCCGAGAGTCTCCTGCAGCTTACTGAGTCCCTCGAGAACTGCTCCCAGATCCAGCTTAAATACCGCCGAGACCTTGACGAGTCCTTCCACAACCCCAGTAGAATGTCGGAGAACGGCCTGCAGCGGTGATTCATTGTTGGGGACATACTGCAGCGCTTGGAACGCATAGCATGCCTGATACATCAAGTAAGGATCCGAGCTAGCCTTCAAACCCGACAACACCCCAGACAGAGGTTCGTGCTCTTCAACTCGATCCAAGTCCTTGACCTTGTGATCCGCCATGACATCAAGCAGCCTCGAGACAGCCAAAGTGAGATGGAAAGGATGAACAGACGACTGCTGGTGGGTGTCCTGCAGACGAACTCTGAGTACATGGAGGATCTTTACCAGGTCGTCAGGGAGTAGAGTCTCGGAGGGAGCAGATTGGACCAACTGTACCAGACCTTGCAGCAAATCAACATTCAGAAGCACAGCTTGGTCGAATGCCGTGATGGTGCAAGAGAGCAACCTGCGAAAATGCTCGTTGTCGAGCACTGGACCAATAAGGACCATCTCCGCAATCTCGGTCAGGTCTTTTGAGGCATCCTTTGCAAACTCATCCACCATGCGAGCTCCAAGGCATCGCAGACGTTCCTGCTCAACGGGGTCTTCCTTCATAGCACCAAGCCAGGCAAGATGGGCAGAAGTGCTAGACCACAGGACCTGCAAGGGATCCTCTCGCTGGTCAATGGTGTTAAAACTGTTGGGGAGCAAGCCAATGCACAAAGTAAGTTGGGGAGTGGTATCAATGCGGGAACCGAACTTGGGCAGGGTGATGAGGATGGCAGGTGGTTTGATATTTTGCGAGAAAACACCCATGCGAGGTATGGCCGGCAGAGCTGACGACTGGGCACAGGAAGCAGGACTTTCGACCTCGGTGATGGAGACTGTATGTTCGATGTCAACACTGCTAGAAACTTGAGCCTCATACTCGACGTCACCACTGTACTGAGTACTGATAATTGAGAGGCGATGAAGATTCGCTTCAGTGCTAGCGGTGGAGAATCGGTCAAGATATGTCTTGGGACTCTGCGACTGATTGTCCCTGGGTGTTGAGGTCGATGGTCGAAAGAATCCGAACAGTTTGTCCCGCTTGCGAACACGCTGGGAGGAGACGGACTTGTTGTCGCCACCATCATCAGTGTCGCCACTTGCAAGGTCCGAATGAACCAGGTTACCCTTGACAAGGATCGTTGTGAGGCCGTGACCGATGGATCGATCATTGTCTGTCGAGGAGGGCCGAACCGTCTTATTGCCTGCTCTGCCACTGCTGGTAAAGGCAGAGTTGGTGCTCGACTGAGATGTCGTGGAGCGAACAGTCGCCGTCGACTGATCGTCGTGGGGTGGTAACCCTGGTGAGGTTGAATGCAATTCCTTGGACATGATGTGTGCACTAATAATAAACAGAGAGGCAACCGCGACATTGAACATTAGGCTGTGTTACAAACAAACACATAAGTCAGAAAGCGCAATGTCCTTGTTGTCTCTGCTTACCTTGAAGGAAATTAAAGTCCTCTGTTGGGGATGTTGGAGGGTTGAAACGGTGTGGTACGAAAGAAGGATGGAAGGCATGGGTCTACCGCATAATGAAAGAAAAACAGAAAAGAGATAAATAGAAAATAAGCATATTAGCCAGTGTAGAAAGCGCGATGCTCATCCGCGGAGTTGAGTGAACAAACAACTCACAATGGGAAAGGAGATAGAGCTGATGCTGTTGCTTGCTGAGGGGTATGTGCTCGGGAAGAAATCTATATGCATGCACAGAGTGTCGGTTAATGGTTGTCGCGGCGAAATCATGCATTGGCAAGTGGTCAAGCATCGCCTTACCTGAGAGACAGAGAGAGAGAGAGAGAGAGAGAGATTACTTTTTTAGTTGTTTTATTGTTGCTATTGGTCCGTTGTGGGCAAACGCTTGAGACTAGAAACGATAATGACCGTGTTGTTGTTAGATGAAAAGAGATAGCACGCGCTAAACAAAATATGAAAAGTTTCTTATTACTGACCAGCACATCCGTCCAAGGACGAAACCAATAATGTACCTGGTGAGAACTTCTTGTTTTCTTTTTGTTTTTGTGTGTTGGCTGGAAAGGAAAACTAAAAGGGAGACTGAGAGGTAATTGCTCTTGGGCGGACAGGGTAACTACTGGTTGAAGGGCGAAGAGTTGAGGTTATGATGTGTTTAGCAGTGATAAGCGTGGTATGTGAGCTGGGCTATTAGACATGAGGGTTGTACCTCTAAGATTGGAGTGCTCGGTACCTGTTAGGTACAAGACGGACAAGCACACAGGAGGGCGATAGACTGAATGTGAAGAAAGCGCAGTGAACTGAGAAAGTGAACGTTGGACGATGGAAAGATGTTGGAATGACCAACAGGCGCTAATGTAGGGAAGGTGCAATGAAGGAAACGGAGACTGATGTTGAAGACGAATGAATGAGGTGAGTGTACTGGTGGAGGGAGCAAGGCGAGTCTTGCAAAGTGGAAGAATAATAAGAAGAAGAGAGGGAGCGAGGGAGAGAGAAAGAGAGAAAGAGAGAAAGAAATCCAAGCCTGAGATGGCCCATGGTATGCTTTTCTTTCCCCCTGTCGGACAACGCCATCCCGCATGGTGCTCTCAATCATGTTTACCTTGCCATATTTTCTTTCCCAGCCATAGATAGAGAGGCCGCTCCCTCCTTTATTCCCGTGCGGCAGAAAATGCACTCGGGAGTCCACAAACTCTAAATGAAAACACCAAGGGTAGAATGGGAATATATCGCAAACTCCCTTCAATGGCCTTGATAACGGCGCGCTGGAGAAAACATAAGTGTTGGTACATAAGCTAGACAGCAACACTGCAATGGAGAAGTTGCAGTGAACGGTTGATCCTGCTTTCTGATTCAAAGACTCATCCAGGTCAGTGATGCCTTGGAGTAGTGAAGGCGGTTGGTGGTCTTCCTGGCCGTGATGTCTGATTCGAAAATTAGTTAGAAGTTGGAAACACAGGAAAATGCCGAAGAAAAGAGAGAGGAGGTTAGAAATAATCAAAACTGATGAAAAATGGAAACGTTGGAGATTAAACTGGTTCCGGCGTCATGGTTAAAGGTTCCAACTTAGGTATTAACGCCCCTCCAAGATAAGAACGAAGACCAAGGCGAAGTTTATTGCCTTCATTGGTCATCGGCCTAATAAAATTGAAACAAGAAAAGAAGGGAAAGTTAGCAAGGATATCCGCGCACACGCACTCACATCAGCTACGACAATCCCAAGTCTGTCCCACTCTTGACAGAAAGAAACCCAGGCCCATGGCTAGAAAAGCAAGCGGCAAACACAAGCACAGAAATATGACAAAGAATAGTCAAATAGAAATCTTTTTAGTAGGGGTGTCAAAAGTAACTGGGTAGAAAATGATGGCCAAAACAGAAAAATAATGTTGTACACAAAAGGAGAGTTGCCGCACAGGAGAGATCCTGTATCGCAGGTTGGGTCCGTGGATGATATAAGGGAACCACAGTTACGCAACATGACAGAACATAACCGGGCCATATCGCGGTCTGTCTCGCAAGTCGAAAGGGTGAACAGTAGCTAAAAAGAAAAATAGAATTGAAAGTTGGATGGACTTTCCGGCAGTATCATCCCCACACGCTAATAGACATAATGAAAAAAGGATGCGTCTGTGGTAACAACAAAAAGTACTCACGCAGTAATTAAGCGTACTAGTAAACCAGGTGCTTCCGGAAGTACCAACCGCCGACATCGCAGTTCCAGCAAAAAAAAAAAATAGAATGAAATGGCAGGGCTTCAAAGGCACCTCCACTATTTGCTCGCCATCCTCCTTCTAGCAGAATGAAGGTGTCAAACCACAGATTGAAAATCAACTCTGTATCCTTCTCATAAAAACACAAAAATGCGAAAAGGCGGCACACTCTCGTCCGACCTTACGCTGGTATGAAGCGAACAAGGAATTGAGTGGTTGGATGTTAAGAATGCATGGTAATCATGAGTAGCATAGTGTTTTTTGAACGATATAATGGACGTCGTTTTATTTACAGGAAAGAAGGTGGGGGTGAATGTACAAAAACGTGCTTTCGAACCGTCAAAGAAAAAAAAAGGTAGAGAAGGAAGGCGTTTTCCTAATGCCTACTCAAAGAAACCGCAAGCAAATGAGGAAGTAAAGTGACAAAAAGGAAAAAAAAACTGCGCTGGAAGGGGTGTGTGTGTCGCGGATCCAAAAGGAAAAAAACCTTTAGACGTTACGCTGAACGTCTCCAAGGGCAGCGTTGCCATGGCCACGAGCCTCCATTGATTTGTCGTTGGTCGCACCTCCGACGGCCTTCTGGGCAGCACCCAAAACATTGTTTCCGAGTCCAGAGGCCTTGTTCTGGGCATCGGTGGCGGTCTGCTTGGCATCGGCCTGGGCCTTCTGCTGGGCGCCCGAGGAGGCGAGCTGGTCGCTGCCGAGGGTGTTGCCGACGGTCTGCTTGGCGCCGCCGACGGTCGAGTTGTAGGTGTTGGAAAGTCTGTCGGTCATTTTGGGAGAGTTTGTTATAGTTTGGATGTGTGTGTGAGAAAGTGTGTGTTGATGATGAGAAGAAAATGGAGAAGGGAAGAAGGTCCTTTTATAGGTTTATTTTTTGGAGGGGAGAGAGTGACCTCGGTGATGGCAGTGATGAAATGAAGTACCGGGGCCATTGATAGTTGAGGGGTACCCAGGTCGAGATCTTCCGTTGAAGGCGAACAAAAAAAAAAGTGCGCGTCATATCCCTCTCATTTCGCCTGTCGATTCGCTTGTGTCAACTCTACACCTCCCTAGACATGAAAGTTTTTATTCTTTCTCCCTGTGCCTTGCGAATGCAAGCAAACATTGGGAATCGTGGATCGTGAAGTGTGACATGATGATGATCATCGCTTGACCTCCCCCCCTATCCCAATCTATGGTTTCACCCTAGGAAATAGGATAGCCAGTGTACCGTACACGAAATGAAGTGCACTAAACCCAAATGAACGATGTTCATGCAAGATCAAAGATCAAACAAAAGGAGGGGTGAGGACATTTTCTTCTGGTTGACAGGTGGTGTCATCATTGTCGCATACTTGTAATGAATGGCTCCTATGAATGGTGCAATAGTACTAAAAAGGATGTGAAGACACGTACTTTTCTGTTATGCACGTCCAGAAAGTAGAAACATGCTCCCTCACTTCTCTCAGCTCGTTCGATTCCCACGCCTTAACTTTCGCCTATGTTACCCCCTCTTTTTTTCTCCTATGATGTTATTCTCTCACACGGACTCTTCTGCCAATGCCATTTTCTGTCAATAGCAAAGATGTCAAGACAAAGCACCATCCAAAAGGACACAGGGCGAAAGAATACAAGGAATACGACTTGAGAAAAAGCACGACTATGAACAAGGTCCCATTAACGCGTTCGTGCTATCTTGTCTATGTGCGAGTTTATAGCTATCTATACAAAAAGACGGACACGAAACTACTCGCGCAGCTCCCTCAAGAACTGACCAGTAGACCGCCCATTCGAAGACGCAGGTCCCTCCGGGTGATATGGCTGGTGGCTCTCAAACATCGAATACGGCACCTCATTCCGCTCCTGATACCCCCCTGCCGGTAGATATCCGCCACCATTCCCCAGGATCTGCTCTGGGATCCCAGATTCATAACCGGCAGCATACCGGTACTGGCTATAGTCCGGTACGGTCATCGAGGCGGTGGCAGCGCTGGACATGCTCATGTGTTGGTGGTTCGGACTATGTCCCTGCCCCTTTCCCTGTGCTTGCTGCTGTTGCTCGTACATCCCAAGCTCATACTGCGATTGTGTTTGTGGGAGGGCCTGTTGGTGGTGAGTGGGTGAGGACCCAGCGACGGAGGCGGGAGCCATAGAAGTGGCCATTGCGGGGCCTCCGACTGCAGAGTCGTGTGGCTGTGGGCGGAAGATGTCGGTGTATGCGTCATAGTCGTCGTCTCCTCCGATGACTGCTCCTCCTGCTCCAGCGCCGCCTACCATGCCTCCCGCTGTTGAGCTCCTGATCTTGCTCTTGAACTGTCTCGATGGCTGTTTTCGCACAATAATAAAAATAAGCGTGTTAGAGACATGCTGATGTAGCTCAGTCGAATGGCCATGTCTTTGTGCCACACATATATCAGACACTTACGGAGAGTTTCCATTTGCGGAAGACCCAGACACCAATACCTCCAGCAACGACAATAGCGCCAATAGCAACTCCAATTGTGATAGCTGTCTTATTGCTTGAGCTCATAGATCCTGAAGAAGCTGTATCCGAGGGTTTGACAACACCATCCGAAGTAGTTGTGACAGGTGATGGTGGGTTCGTATGTCCACCTCGACTACTGCTGCTGGTAGTAGTTGTCTTTGTCCTGGATTTCGTGGTTGGTTCAGGGTCAGGGGTAGTGACGGGTGGGTCAGTAGTGACTGGAGGAGGTGTAGTTGGATCCGTAGTGACGGGAGGTGTGGTAGGATCTGTGGTCACTGGTGGAGGCGTCGTAGGGTCAGTTGTAACTGGAGGAGGTGATGTTGGATCTGTAGTGATGGGAGGGGGTGTAGTTGGGTCCGTGGTCACTGGTGGAGGTGTTGTGGGATCCGTAGTTGTAGGTGGAGCTGTAGGCTCCGTAGTTGGTGGTGTTGTTGCTACTCCTGTATCACCCGTTGGCGACACGGCTAAAGAAATAAAAATAAAGGGAAGACAACGGAGTTAGTTTAGTTTGGTGGTGTGTCCATCGTTCATTGTAACATCATACTGCCGCGCTAGTGCATGCTAGTTATTATTTTTCGTACGGGAAGTTGGAGTAGGAGGTTGTTGTTTGTCGGTGGAGGTGAAGGTATTGGTGGTGGCACTAGTGCCCGAAGTAGGATCGGGTGTAGAGGGTGGTTCTGACGACGACGGGATGGTAGTGTCAGTAGGAGGAATGATAACAGAAGTACCAGTACCCGTACTGGTACCAGAACCACTGTCCGTCTCTGTCGCTGTGATTCCCGACGATTCCCCGGTTGAGGGAGGAGTCGTCGTATTGGGGACGGAGACAGAGGAAGGAGGGGGGAGTGCATCAGAGGTGGTGGTCACCCCTGTCGTTGTGCCTCCTGTTGTCCTTGGATGGACTGCATATTCACGTTATTCGTGAACAAACACAAGAACAGCAACGAGATGGCGATAGAAGGAATGAAAGGAAGAGCAATAACAACCAAAGCAAGGAAGGAGGGAGGGAAGGAAGATCCGAGAAGCGGAGTGGAAAGGATAGGATAGCAAAAGAAATAGAAAATCGCCAATCGGTTAACACAATGTACGAGCACTTTTCTAATGGCTCACATAAACATTTTCATGTAAGCATAATGAGAAAGGGAGCTGGCAAGTAGAGACAGGGAGTAAATATGAAGATTGGCTTGTAACGAAACAACAAACAACAGCGGGCTCGCATCCGCTGTGCTTCCTCGTTCGAAAGAGCCTTCGGGGGTGTTTTTGGGTAACGAAAGGTTCCTCTCCTCTGTGTCCGGCTGTTCTCCGATTGAATATGTCCCAACTCCAGAACCTTCTGGCTCCACTCTCTTTATGCACTCTGCACCCAGCAAAGGTTATCCATCAGATCTTGTTTTTCACCACCCGCTTGCTACCATGCCGTCACCATGCATGCCCGCCCTCAAACAAAAAAAAAAAAAAAAAAAATCAATATTGAAACCCTTGGAGTTGAAAAGTTAATAATGGTTGGATGGATGATAAAATGAGGAGACAAGGGAGCAAGGGAGAGAGAGTGGTTTGGAGTGGAAGTGCACACAAACAGAAAGGGATAAATCAAATGGTTTATGGTTCAATTGGAGCATGTGAGGGGTCGATGAAGGAAGGAAGTAGGGAGAAGTGGTTGGAACCCGGTTGGGCTGGGGGGAGGGAGCAAAGAAAGGGAAGGAGGAAGTGAGCAAGAGCGAAAGTGAGGGCGAAGAATCATCACGCCGTGTCAGAAGAGTCGGAAAAAAGCAGACGAAAAGTGCGTCTCTCTTCTCTCTCCTGTTTGTCACAAACAACTATTTGGCGATATGGGCGTGTGTGCTCGAGAGGCTGTTACGGTAAGACAGCCGGCCTTGGACAGGGATGGGTAAAGGAGTGGTGGAATGGTATACGAGAGGGAGAGGCACGAATCGAAGAATGAAAAAAGTAGATGGAAGGAGCTGAACCCAATCAGGTCGCAGGAAATGCGCGCGCGAATAAACAAAACAAAAAACAAAAAAAAAAAACTGCATTGACAGACAACAGGTAGGGTACATACCCTCATTAGATCCAGAACCGTCTTTGCTGGGTGTGGGTACAGCGTCCCCGAGGACCTCGTTCAACAGATCCCGCCTCTGTATCCTCCTCCTCCTCAGTCTCCAATTGCTGTTCTGCTGAATGTTGTTTTCGACAATAGGGGCATAAAAGTGTTCAATTGTCCGATAAAGGTATCGACGGCGACGGATATCAAACCCCAGCTCGTGGTGGTTAGCAGTGCTGTCGTCACTTGTAAGGATGCTAGCAAGGGCGGATGGGTCTTCCTGCTGTTGCTGTTGCTGTTGCGCGTGAACGAGACCGAGGGGCAAGAGGATTGTTGCCAAGGCGAGAAGGACACTGAGGGTCAACGATGATACTGGGGTTGCCCTCATTGTCGTTCTATGCTGTTGTTCTTTTCTTTTCCTGGGAGAAAAAAGAGGCGCTCAGTAATAAAATAGTGTTCCTATGGTGGGACAAGCTGCTGTGTGTGCTGTGCTGATTGTATACAAATGAGGGGAGAGAGATGTTGTGTGATGACTGAAAGATGGAGTGATGTACAACGAGAGGAAAGACGAATGAATGACAAACAATGAAAAAAGAAGAAAAAGCAAAACAAAGGGAACGTAGAGACAAAGAAAGGAAAAGGTGAAGGGAAGGAACAAAGAAACGAAAAGAGTGGCAAAAGGAGTAAGGAAGAAAAAGTAGAAGGAGGAGTCTCTCCTCTTACACACACACAGAGGGAGGAGGAGGAGGAAAGGACCAGTTGTATGCTCCGCAAAAATAACACTTCAAGCTGGTGTGAAAATAAGGTCCGATGTTCCTTCTTCCCCTTCTTACCATCGTCATAAAACACCCAACAATCACAATCAATTAAATAGAGTCCTGGCACCAAAGGAGAGGGGTACCGCCCCCTCTCTCCCTCTGGGTACCCCTGGGCTCTAATTGCATAATTCTTCAAGCAATTGCCCCCCGTCCCTTCATATCAAACAAAGAAGGACACAACGTGGTGCCCTGACTTGAATGACCAATGAACAACACAAGGAGGAATGATGCATGTGTTGCATGCATGTGTGTCGAGATATGATGCACCTTGTCCATTCATATCCCCTACTCCCCTGTTCCTAACGGTCGAGAACATCATTTCATCATTCTTCATCTGGGACCAATTCAGGCACCATATGATTTTATGAGACAATTCATTCATTTTTTTCAATCGCCGTTCGACATCGTCCGAAACCGAAACTTGCTCCCCTTCCTTCTCTGACAAGGGTCAACTATGCATTCTGCAGGGGTTTCAACTTCCAGGGCCAGAAAAGGTAGAGTGACCCCACGCAGAAAACACTTGTCTCTCTCTCTTACCTTCGCGTACAGCATCCATCACAGTTTCAGAAGAGAGAAAAAAAAAGGTGCGCGCCAGGATCAAGTCAACAAGAGCACATAAATGATGCAGGTTGTGAACGTCCTTACTTTCCATCCTTACCTTTCACCGCAGTCGGCAACACTGCGTTACACAAAACAGTGCTAATGCTTTTGCCTTCATGGTGCCCAATCGTGGTGAACAGGCTCTCTCTCTCTGCGTTGACAAGTTTGTTTGGAATGTTGGCTCCGAGGAAGTCGTAATCATTGACCACCTTTATCGTTTCTTCAACCCTCATCCTTTTTTTATCTTGTCTGTCAGGTGGCACACGCACAGAAAGATCAGCGCAATATCACGGCAGAGGGCAACCTCTTTGTTGACCATCCATCTCCGTTCGGCAGTAGAGTGTCCCTCGTAGTATGACCCTTCCTCTTTTTCCATTGACGCCATGGCCCTTCGCCATCCCTTCCCATCGATCCTCTCTCCCTCCTTCTCCGTCCTTCCCTCACTTTTGATTTGAAAGGAGAGAAAAGTTTAACTGGACGTTTGTGGTCCAAAAACAATGATGACATTCATCCTGACATGGCACCAACGGGAGCTGTTGGTTTACTCTGTTTGCCTTTTCTGATCATTCTTAGGAAGGGGTTTACCATTCATCGCCTAATCCATCAACGGATCTCTCAATCGTGCACGACACGATGAGTACAGTAAAAAGGACACCAAGGGTATACCAAAAAAACGCTGGTTTCGGAGCATAAGGTTGCTTCTTTGTACTGTACTCCATTTCTTGCTTCATCAAATAACGTTGGTAGATTAATAGCGACGCGATTGGGCGGATGTGCAGCTCCTGAGCGATTCAGACGTAAAAAGGCTGTATTTTGGTTATCAGCCATGGATCACCTCGATGAGTACTCTTTCATTTCACGTCTTATGTCTGTTCACCCTCTGTCAACGACTATTGTACGATTGAACTTGCATGGTGTCTGTGCGAGTGTCTCGCTCTCCAACGCTTTTCTCCTTTGCTTCTCAGCTTATGTGTTAACAATGCCTGCCGAGTGCTTTTTCTCTTACACGGGAATGAAAGAGGGAGTGGTAAATCGATCTATGGCAGGAAAGAAAATATGTCAAGATTGAGGGCCATGCGGGATGGTGTTGTTCACCAGGGGGAAGGAAAAGAAACAACGATGCACAGGCGAAAACTCACATCCATACTATGGGCCACCTCTGTCTTGGGGTTCTTTCTCTCATTCTCTCTCTCTCTTCCTCTCACCATTTTTCCTCCTTGCAACCCTCGCCTTGCTCCCCTCCTCATTACTCTCCATCTCCTTCATTCGTCTTCACCACCAGTCTCCTTGTCCTCATTGCACCTTACCTGCATTAGCACCTGTTGGTCATTCCAACATCCATCCATCTTGTAACGTTCTTCTTCTCAGCTCTCTGCACCTTCTCCTCGCTCTGAGAATCGCCCTCCTGCGTGCTTGTCCGTCTTGTACCTATCAAGTACCGAGCACTCCAAGCTTGGAGAGGTACAGCCCCCCACGTCTAATAGCCCAGTTCACATACCACGCTTATCTCTGCTAAACACATCATAACCTTAACTCTTCGCCCTCCAACCACTAGCCATTCTGTCTCCCTAATAGCAATTGCCTGCTTCTCCACTTGTCGTTTCCCATCCAGCTAACACACAAAACACACCAAAAGAACGCAAAACGTTCTCGCGAGGTACGAGATCGCTTTGTGAGTACTTGGACAATCGTGTTTGCATGCAAGAAGAACCTTTCCATATTCTGTTTAGCGCGTGTTAACTCTCATCATCCTCAACTGTCTACGACGGGCCCGCTCTCCTTACCACTCAGGTAGGGCCATTCTAGACCGCTTGCCAGTGTTTGGCACCGCGGACAAGTATTGACCAACGCTCTCCACGCATGCATATATATTTCTTCCCGAGCACATGCCCCTCAGCATCCAAACCCGCTAAACAAGCAGGCAGCAGCATCAGCTCCATCTCCTTTCCCATTGTGAGTTGTTTGTTCACTCAACTCCGCGGATGAGCATCGTGCTTTCTACACTGGCTAATGTACTTTTTTTCTTTTTTTCTCTTTTCTGTTTTTTTTTTTTTTTTCATTATGCTGTAGGCCCCTGCCTTCAATCCTTCTTTCTTACCACACCATTTCAACCCTGTCCAGTCTCCAACATCCCCAACAGAGGACTTTAATTTCCTTCAAGGTAAGCAGAGACAACAAGGACATTGCGCTTTCTGACTTATGTGTTTGTTTGTAACACAGCCTAATGTTCAATGTCGCGGTTGCCTCTCTGTTTATTATTAGTGCACACATCATGTCCAAGGAATTGCATTCAACCTCACCAGGGTTACCACCCCACGACGATCAGTCGACGGCGACTGTTCGCTCCACGACATCTCAGTCGAGCACTAACTCTGTCTTTGCCATCCTTTGCAGAGCAGCCGATAAGGCAGTTCGGCCATCCTCGACGGTCAATGATCGATCCATCAGTAACGGCTTTGCAGCGATCCTTGTCAAGGGTATCCTGGTTCCTACGGACCTTGCATGTGGCGACGCTGATGATGGTGGCGACAACAAGTCCGTCTCCTCCCAGCGTGTTCGCAAGCGAGACAAGTTGTTCGGACTCTTCCGACCATCGACCCCAAAGCCCAGGGACAAGCAGTCGCAGAGTCTCAAGACATCTCTTAACCGATTCTCCACCGCTAGCACCGAAGCGAATCTTCATCGCCTCTCAATTATCAGCACTCAGTATAGTGGTGACATCGAGTATGAGGTTGAAGTTTCTAGCAGTGTTGACATCGAACATACAGTTTCCATCAGCGAGGTCAAAAGTCCTGCTTCCTGTGCCCAGCCGTCAGCTCTGCCGGCCATAACACGCTTGGACGTCTTTCCACAAAATATCAACGCCCCTGTCGTCCTCATCGCTTTACAAGACTTCGGTTCCCGCATTGATACCACTCCTCAGCTGGCCCTATGTCTTGGATTGCTCCCCAACAGTGTTGTCCCCATTGACCAGCAAGAGGATCCCTTGCAGATCCTGTGGTCTAGCACTCCTGCCCATCTTGCCTGGCTTGGTGCTTTGAAGGAAGACCCCGTTGAGCAGGAACGTCTGCGATGGCTTGGAGCTCGCATGGTGGACGAGTTTGCAAAGGATGCCTCAAAAGACCTGACCGAGATTGCTGAGATGGTACTTATTGGCCCTGTTCTCGACAACGAGCACTATCGCAGGTTGCTGTCGTGCACCATCACGGCATTCGACCAGGCTGTGCTTTTGGATGTAGATTTGCTGCAAGGTCTGGTGCAATTGGTCCAGTCTGCTCCCTCCGAGGCTCTGCTTCCTGACGACCTAGTCAAAATCCTCCATGTACTCAGAGTTCGTCTGCAGGACACCCACCAGCAGTCGTCTGTTCATCCTTTCCATCTCACTTTGGCTGTCTCGAGGCTGCTTGATGTCATGGCGGAGCACAAGGTCAAGGACTTGGATCGAGTTGAGGAACACGAACCTCTGTCTGAGGTGTTGTCGGGTTTGAAGGCTAGCTCAGATCCCTACTTGATGTATCAGGCATGCTATGCGTTCCAAGCGCTGCAGTATGTCCCCAACAATGAATCACCGCTGCAGGCCGTTCTCCGACATTCTACTGGGGTTGTGGAAGGACTCGTCAAGGTCTCGGCGGTATTTAAGTTGGATCTGGGAGCAGTTCTCGAAGGACTCGGCAAGCTGCAAGAGACTCTCGGAGGTGTCGTTGAGGTTGCTGGTAGTGTCTATGATGGTGCCTGTTCGCTTATGGAGAGTGGCCGAGGCGTGCTTGAGAGCATGAAGGAGGGGCTTGGGTCTGGTCAGAGGCGTCCGTGGTACACTGCCGTCCGTGCCGCCTACGCCCTTGCTCAAGCCGGTCAACTCAAGGATCTCAATGTTCTCATCTATGAGGCACCCTGTCGTCGTGACCCTTTGTTTCAATGGGGTATCTGCCAATTGCTGGGCGAGATCGCCTCTGACACCATCTGGGACACC